CTGTTGTTTTTCCTGATCGCACTTATATGTGTCGCTTGCCTCCGGAGACTAGCATCTTTACAGCGGAACTTTATGCTATTCTCTTCGTCTCCTGCTTTCTCGTTGTCAGTCTTCCTTTGTGGTTGTTGTTGACTCTCGTAGTGCCCTCATGGCTCTCGGGTGCTTTAATCCAGTTCATCCGGTAGTTGTCGAGATCCAGCATTGGCTGTTTCTCGTTCACAGTAAATTTAAGTCGGTTGAGTTTTGTTGGGTTCCCAGCCATATTGGCGTGTCTTTAAATGAGCGTGCGGATGCTGCCGCTAAGGAAGCTGTCCGCTCTTGTCCCATCTCTCGTAAAGGCATTCCGTATTCCGACTTTTACCCGGTTATCCATTCCTCAGTCCTTGCCCGTTGGCAGGCTTCTTGGTTGTCTGTTACTGGTAACAAGCTACGTACTCTTAAATGTTGTGTTTCCTCGTGGCCGTCCTCCTTCCACCGTAACCGGCGGTGGGAAACAGCTCTAGCGAGGTTGCGTATTGGCCATACTCGCTTAACCCATGGTCACTTGATGGAGCGCCGCCCTGCTCCTTATTGTCCTAGTTGCGTTGTCCCTCTTACGGTCGTGCATGTCCTTCTTGAATGTCCTGACTTCCAGGACGAGCGTGTGTCTTGCTTTCCGACCGCCCCTCGCGGTCACCTGTCCCTCGATAGAATTCTTGGTGACTCGGATACTTTTGATATCGTTCGCCTTATGCGTTTTTGTTCTCGTATTGGCATCCTTGGTGATATTTAGCGCCCTCTGATTATTTTGCGTATTTGATGGTGCTACATAGCCTTCCCGGTTTGGTGCCTTCTTTTGATAATTACTTACTTACTTACTTCTATTTCTTATATATATAAACGATCTGCCTAATGTCTCTAATATTCTCAAACCTATATTGTTTGCTGACGATACTACCCTTATCTACTCAAACCTCAACCCACATACACTAAATAATGTTGTGAATAATGAATTAAAAAAAGTCCACTTATGGATGTCAACGAACAAACTAACATTAAACATCGAAAAGACTTACTACATCTTATTTGGAAGCAAATCATCAAATGCAATTCAGCTACAGATAGACAACATTAACATCAGTAATAAAAATGATGGCAAGTTTCTTGGCCTATTCCTAGACAAGAGACTCAACTTCAGCACCCACATTCAACACACAACTAAGAAAGTCTCTAAGACAGTTGGTATACTCTCCAAAATCAGATATTATGTTCCTAACTCTGCTCTCCTCTCACTATATTATGCACTAATCTACCCCTATCTTAATTATGGTATCTGTGCATGGGGGTCTACCACTGCAAACCACCTTAAGCCCATCATCACACAGCAAAAATCTGCTATCAGAATTATAACTAATTCTGCTTTCAGACAACACTCAGCTCCCTTGTTTAAATCCCTAAACTTGCTAAATATTAACTCCCTCCACACATTCTCTTGTCAACTACATTTACAAAACCCTGTTCTTAAATGCAAACCATGCTCTGAAACTCTCCCTGGACAGATGTAATAGGACCCATTATCACCACACCAGAAATAAATATCTCTTTGATATCCCCAGGGTCAAACTTAATCTGTGTAAACACTCTATGCAAATTAAGGGACCTAGTCTATGGAACTCACTCCCTAGTGAATTGAAAAACTGTAAAACTTTTGCCTTATTTAAAAGCAAAACCAAAAAGTACCTAACTTCATCTTCTTAGTTTCCTACACTGAGCTTTAAATTTGCTCTGTACCTAGTGTTACCCAATCTCCTAATTTTTATGTAATATCAAACAACCTTATCATTGTGTTCATTGCTGTCTTTTATGTGCTAGCCATATGCTGTATTGTGACTACCAATTTTTGTCAACTACCACTCAAGCTGTCATTGCAATCAATCTTAATGGTCACTGCTTGCTTGATGCAAGCGGGGATGTTTCTGGCGGGGGAGAAGGAAACAATTGCGCACATAACAATTGCGCACACCAGAAATAAATATCTCTTTGATATCCCCAGGGTCAAACTTAATCTGTGTAAACACTCTATGCAAATTAAGGGACCTAGTCTATGGAACTCACTCCCTAGTGAATTGAAAAACTGTAAAACTTTTGCCTTATTTAAAAGCAAAACCAAAAAGTACCTAACTTCATCTTCTTAGTTTCCTACACTGAGCTTTAAATTTGCTCTGTACCTAGTGTTACCCAATCTCCTAATTTTTATGTAATATCAAACAACCTTATCATTGTGTTCATTGCTGTCTTTTATGTGCTAGCCATATGCTGTATTGTGACTACCAATTTTTGTCAACTACCACTCAAGCTGTCATTGCAATCAATCTTAATGGTCACTGCTTGCTTGATGCAAGCGGGGATGTTTCTGGCGGGGGAGAAGGAAACAATTGCGCAGCGCGTCCCGCGGCGTTGCGCGGGCAGTTTGGGGCCCTATAAATACGGGCGCACAATGGGGCTCTGCCCTCGCAAAATCCAGCCCTCCAGCCCGTCCTCGCAAAATCCAGCCCTCCAGCCCGTCCTCTTATGACGCTGCCGCCCTTGTTCCTGCGAGAAGCAGGCCTCGCCGAGACGCCGACAACAGTTCCTGCGCACCTCCTGCCCTGCAACTTCACCCTGCAACTGTGAGGACCCTATTCAACTCCCTGCAGCCAGCGACGAGGCGTACTTACAGGGCTAAGTGGGTGGAGTACGCCGCCTACGTCTCGGCAGGGAGGCAAGGAGAATGCCCCCTTCGATGCTGCACCTTCGACTCTGGGGAACTTCCTGCAATCCCTGCTCTCGCGGGGCCTGGCTTACCGCTCTCTGCACGCCTATCTAGCGGCCATCGCCTTCGTCTGCAAGCTACACGGTAGGAGGGACCCAACTCGGCAGTTCCTGGTCACCCAACTCCTCAAAGGGGCACGTAACTCCGCACAGCGGGCCCCTGCACGGCGTCTCCCTGTGACGAGGAGCCTCCTGCATCGCCTGCTGCGGGCACTGGGAGGCGTATGTAACTCTGCCTATGAGAAGTCCTGCTACAGGGCGCTCTTCTCCCTGGCTTTCCACGCCTGCCTACGCCCGGGTGAGGCGGTCTACGTGGACCATGGACGACACACGCTCAACCTTGAGCAGGTATCACTTACGACGGCAGGAATAGATATCGTCTTCAACACCTACAAGCACAGTGCAGGGCGCACGCCCACCCTCTCCCTGAGAGCGAACCCTTCCAGCAAGTACTGCCCGGTCCGTGCCCTGTCTAAATACTTTAATCACAGGGGCCTGAGCCCGGGGCCCATATTCAAACACGCCGCAGGCGCTCCTGTCACCAGGCGTGATTTCTCCAAGATCCTACGCTCTGCCCTCACGGCGCTAGGCTTGCCTCCAGATGACTACGCGCCGCATTCCTTCCGTATCGGCAGGGCCACTCAGCTGTCTCGGGATGGGCTCGCCACTTCAGAAATAATGGCTGTCGGCAGGTGGAGGAGTAGCGCTTTCACATCCTACGTCAGGCGGGACGTTGTTGCTCTGCCACTTTGAGTGCCTCACGCGGCCAGCTGGCACTCGCCCTTCGGGGGGGGGGGGGGGTCCGGCCGCTGGCCTGCGGTGGGGGTGCAGCGCCGGTCCCCAAGTGTCCCGCTGTCCGCAGCTAATACTTTGCCCAGTCTAGGTGCTAGTAAGCCCTACTTGTAGTCACCCCCTTCTCCTTATTCATTAGGTCTTTCCGGCCTCTTGGTCGGGTACATTATGTGTTATGTGGTCTCTCACTTATTAGTTACTCTTTGTGTCCTGCCTGTTATATCCTAGTGTTATATAATTACTCACATTTGCATTCGGCCTTAATTCTAGTACCAGTTAAGCTTTACGTTTCTGCAGAATTAGTTTCCATGTCACTATAGGCTAAGGTCTCATAATTACTACGGGTGTACCTTTTAAGTTAACTCTAGTCCTCGGACTTGGAATTGTTACTGTTAATTCTTACTTTATATATTTACATGTTCTGCAGAATTTAATCTTCAATAAACTTTAACGCCCCATGCTGCCTGTATCTTTCTCCCCCTGGACAGAAATATTGTTTCTGCTGTATTGTGCCTACCAATTTGTTGTCAACTACCATTTTAAGCTGTCATTGCAATCAATCTTAGCTACCTATGTGCTTTAATATACTGTACCTACAATTTTCTCTCATCTTTTTTTTTTTTTTTTTTTTTTCATTTCATGTAATCTGTTATCATTTTTTTGTCTATAAATTTTGCAAGTATTTACCTCCTTAAAATTTTCTTAGATTAAGGACCTGCCCGAAACGCTGCGCGTGCTAGTGGCTTTACAAGACTGTAATTACCATATTTGTATCCTCACATTCCTTATGTACATTCTTGTATATGCATAAATAAATAAATAAATAAACAGTATTGTATGTCGAACATAAAAAATATTAAATGTATAAAGATATTGTACACAATGTGATAAATCAATGATATAATCTTTAGAGCAGGACAGCACGATCGAACCAATGTTGTGGATAACCACAGATGTGCACCTTAACCCATGGACTAGGATGTGCAAAAAGTTACACGACCTGCAGCCCCTGGGGCCGGATTCCGGATGATAATCTACAAAACTGTGTAGACGTAGGACTCCACACCCATTATGCTTCATACAATAAATATTGGTAACTTATCCTATTATTTTTTTAATATATATATATATATATATATATATATATATATATATATATATATATATATATATATATAATATATATATAATATATATATAATATATATATATAATATATAAACTCCACACACACATAATGTGTGTGTGTGCAGAAATAATAATAATAAAACAATTAACATCGTGTAGTTTACTCTATATATCAAAATATATTTGAAATCCGTATCAGTCACTAAAAAAAAAAAAAATGGGCTGCTCTTATTACAAATTCGCTACTTTTCGACCGTCAGCTCGCTACTTTCCGCAATTTGGACCTTGGCAACGCTGCTCGTAGCTGGTCAGTCTGCCCCCAGCTCTCTTACCATCAGGGTGGCTCCTCAGGCCCCATGTGATAGATAAGAACACAAACAATTAAATTATGCAACGATGTTCGTGTTAGAGAGACTGGTGAAGTTAACACAAGCGAGGTGTGGCGTATATCAGTTGTTCGTCTCGTCAGAAGGCAATTATTGGGCTTCAAAATGCAGGCATATTAAAACGTCACCATTATCAGACGCCAAGGCTAAACGTAACTAATATTCTTTATTGTATGGTGGGGGGGTATTATCGGTGTTGGCATGTGATAAACGATTAATAATTATTTATTTTGTCGGGGGATATTTATCCCGAGGGCCATTATATCTGGTGGCCTCTTATGAGGACTGGATGCCGGCGGCTTGTCGAAGGTTACCCCATTTGTCCTGATGATTTTGTTGAGCTGGATTCTAAAACTCTTCAGTATTTTGGTGCTTACATCTCTGGCAGTAGGTGGTTCCATGGGTTTATAAGTATGGGGGGAAGTATAGTATCTTTTCTATTCTGCATTGTGGCTTGAAATCGTTGCTCCTTGTTCGTGCTACATCTGACCTTTCGAAGAAGTTTGTTTAGGGTCAATATCCTCTAATTTGTTCAGCATTTTAAGTTTGAATGAGACCATCCCTGATATATATGGCTTGCAGTGGTGTGTTAGCCCTCCCTGAGGCCCTCAGTCGTTACTGGTATGAGTCAATTTAATTCTGGGATGATTTTAGTCGCCTGGTGTTGAACTTTGTTCAGAGGTATGTCTTCTTGAAGGTGGTCTCTAAGGTCAAACTACTGACCTTCCCCAGGTTGCAACTACACAACAGTTGCCTAACTACAATAATAATTGGCATTCATAAAATATACACAAGAACATATTTCAGAAGTACAGTAGTACTGTATGTATATAGGTACTAAGTTATATAATAAAGAAAACCAGTAATGCACAAGTGTTCCAGGTTTCTGTTTACTGTTAGGTGAACAGGTGCATTGGGTGCCCAACCATTTCTCCTTCCTGGGTATTCAAGTATAGATATAAGCATGCTATCGTTTTATGTACTTTTATATTTGCTGTTTTAATATAATCCTTCGCTGGTATTAAATAGTTAAATTGCACTAGGATATTTTGCCCATAACTTTTTCTAATTTGTTAAACTATTTACGGTTAGGTCCGCTAGTTCTTAAAATCTTTTGATGAACCATCTTATGTTCACCAAACCACACACTAGAAGATGAAAAGACGACATTTCGGTCGATCCTGGACCATTATCAAGTCGACTGTGATGAGACGAGGGGAGGCGCGGATATAAGTAAGGTGAGAGAGAGAGGTTAGGAGGAGGAAACCTTAGAGGAAGGTAAGAGCACGACAAAAGGTCCGGAAGGGATAGGTGAAATAAAGGGGGTAAGGGGATGATAGGAGTAAGAATGGGAACATAAGAGAAAGAAAACAAAGCAAAAAAGGAAGGGAAGGCTTATGTTAGGTCATGTTTGTTAGAAAGTTTAGAACATTTGAATATGTATGGTACTGTGAAAGGGGAAAGTCAACAGCAACAAAGCCAGGACTAAGGTTCATGTTGGGTAGGTTGTATTCACCTAGTTGTGGGTGCTGGTGGCTGAGTGGACAGCATGCTGGATACGTAGTCCTGAGGTTCGGGGTTCGATTCCTGGCGCTGGCGGAAACAAAAATGGGCAGAGATTATTTCACCCTGATGCTCCTGTTACCTAGCAGTATATAGGTACCGTACCTGGGAGTTACAGCTGTTACGAGTTGTTTCCTGGGTGTGTGTGTGTGTGTGTAAAGAAAAAAAAAAGCCAGGACTAAGATTCATGTTGGATAGGTTGTGTATCAGAGCTGATTCAACAAGACAGCGTCTCTGAAGAGTAGAGGCAGGAAAGATTATTTCAGAAGACCAATCGATAGGATGACCAGAATCCTTAACATGACAGAAGAGAGACATCTTCACATTATTTTTTGTATGACCATGTAGAGATGTTTGAAAAGTTCTGTGGTACCAGTATCTGAAGGTGTATTATTACACCCTCAGCCCAACCACTTGGGCTGGACGGTAGAATGACACTCGCTTCATGCAGGTCGGTGTTCAATCCCCAACTGTTAAAGTGTTTGAGCACCATTCCTTTCCCCCGTCCCATTTCAAATCCTTATCCTAATCTATCAAAGTGCTATATACTGTAGTTGTAATGGCTTGGCACGTTCTCCTGATAATTTCCTTCCTTCTTTCACCCTTAGACACTCAGAAAAATAGTTTCCATGTTGTCTTGACCCTATTTGTTAGCTTTTCATATGACTGGCTGTCCCTTTTGAAAGTCCAGGTTGGCATAGCAGGAGTGACTTGTAAAGGAGGTACCACTGCATCCCAATTTTTCAACATTGAATTTTTTTTTTCCAGATGGACCGTCTAGAATTCAGTCACACCTTCCACAAAAGCAGCTACAACAACTTGTGATGGCAGATACACACTATGTTCAAAGTAAGGAATACATTCTTATTTTGAGTTTATTTATATACAGTACTAATCCTCCGTGTGTACAGTATGTGTGTGTAACGTATGTGTTTTTTTAGTTTAATGTGGAAAAGAAATGTTTGAGGTAAGATGGTGATGAAAGAGGCATGAAAATCAGGGAGAAGGGGAGAGTGAGTAGAAGTAAATGAAGGGAGGAGTGACAGAGAGGGGAGTGGAGTTAATGGGAGGGGAGAGATAGTGTGAAGGTGGAGATAAGAAATAAGTAATGTAGAAATATGAAGAAGGATAGAGGGAGAAGATCGTGAAAAAATGAGAAAAATTGTTACAGCCACCCTGTTTGTATCACCCTTATGTGACTGAAAGATAAGTAGTTAACACATATAGATTTTTTTTTGTTGGTCTGCATAATACTGTATATGATAAAATTAAATAAGTTTATTTTTTCAGAGCAAAAGCACGAAGTTCTACAACTATTTCCCCAAGTTAAATCAACTATTAAGAACATGTTCCAAAACCTCTCGAGTAACCTTAACCCAATATACAGGTAACTATAGTTTTTTTTTTAATATATTTAATTTTTTCTCATGTATACTGTACTTGACCATTATATATACTGTATATATTAAACATGATTACTAGAGGCCCTACATAATGTGGATTCATTGATTTCAGTGCCTCTATAATGTAATGTACACTACAGTACTGTATCTTTATTTTTATTTTGTTTATAACTCATACTGTAGTGTATTGTATTGTATAGCAGCCCCTTCAAAATACTGACTTCTGTATTTAGTTCCAGATTTGATTCAGATTTAAGAAGAATTTGAAATCCAGGTTGGAATGTTTGTCCTTTCCTGAGCTAGTTACTTTATCTTAAGCTAGGAGCCATTGAAACACCAGGACAGTGTTACATGGCTAGACTCTAATGACAAAAAAATTGCATATGCTTGAAGAAAGGCTTATATCTAATGTTGTAGAAGACAGTCTCGGTTCTTGTATCTGATACTGTAAGATTTGATATTAAAATATGACTTTTCAACAGGTGTGAACAAACTACATCAGCAGTTGGAAGAGTCAATCATCAGTTAGTATTTCAGTGTTCTTTCACAATTAATTGGCCTAAGCATGTCACCTTTTATGGCTATGGGGTTAATAAAAGTAATGCAGAATTGGCTGCCCTGGTAAAGGCTGCTGAAATGCTTTACAAAGGCAAGTATGGTGAATTTAATATTTTATAGAAAAAGTCTGGCAAAAGTTATTTTTGTTCCATCCTGGCATATTTTTAAGAATTATCAATAAAAACCAATGTGAATACTGTATTAAATATGTTTGTCTTATTCAGTGAAAATATAAATGTATACTGTAGGTGGATTTTAATATATTGTATATATCTAATTTTCAGATAAGTGCATCGATGAACATGGTTACCCAATAACAATTTCGCATGAAGAAAAAAATAAATTGCTTCAGAAATTAAATCTTCCCCCATTGATTTCATTGCCTGCCTCCCTCGTAGATGAAGGCTGCGACTTGTTAGATGACTTTGATAAGGTTAGCTAATATCCTGTTATAAAATTTAAACAATTTTGCCTATTTTATGAACAAAATTGTATTGATCATAATTTTTATTTAATTGTTGAATTAAATGTATTAACACCACCCCCTACATCCATATTACAATTACACACATGCCAAACTAGAAATAATTTTTTTTAATTTTTGAGCCATACTAGGTTACAATATACAGTATGCAATGTTTCTCTTGGTCCTGTAAGGAGTGCCGGAAAAACCAGGCTGTAGTAGATATGTAGGCCTGGCCTCAGGCCGGGCTTGGGGAGTAAAAGAACTCTTTAAACCCCCATCCAGGTATGCACTATGTGCCATGTTCTCTCAAATTAGTCTAAAATTATGTAGTGAGGGCCTGCTTGACGTGACTAATTACAGGTAGACCTACCATTACATTTGGTATTCCATTTAGACATGACTTTTCTGAACTATCTTATTCATATGCCCTAAATCAAGATTATTCTATTTATCTGTATTCAAAAAATAGAATCATGCATAGTCAGGCATTGTCACTGGTGCTACAAAGAATGTTTCAAGCACTCCTTGCAGGGGCATTAGTGGTTGTATGAATGATCAGTCCACTCTAGTAGGACCAGCAAGAGATCCAATTCATAAAATTCCTGAGCCTCTCTTAACCTTCCTGTGGCATCATTTGTGATTGCCAGAGGAGGGCTCAGCTAACTGCCCCCCCCCCACACACACACACACTTCTAGATTTCCTGTCCTGAGTTACCTTATATTCTTTCCTATATTCTATATTCTTTCATAAGAGCCTTCAGCTCTTGCTGGGGAAGAAAGGTCCACTTTTCCTCTTTCAAGTGGGGCTAGCTGATGTCGACAGTTAAGGTTTAGGACATGGCTCTCAGCCACTGAAATTTTTTTCCTTCATTAAACATTTGCATGTGAAAACTATCACCATTTAGGCAGTAAGAATGAACATCTGGGTTAAAAAATAGTGCTTTACTGCACCTTGCAAAACTGCACCAAGCACAATTTTGTTAATACTCATATTGTCATCATGGCTTAGCAAGACGAAAGCAAAGAATTAGCAGTAGTGAGCAATAGATCCTAGAACATACACCCTGGACCACAGTGTGCAGAAGAGGCCTAGTGGACAACATACCTGTTCATGGCATACCCTAAGCATTTTCTACTTGTAAGACAAGGAAGGGCAAGGAAAGTCACTGACTGAAGCAAAATAGAATTTGAGATTCAATCTAGCCATGCATCTAGCATGACTAGTAAACATAACTAATTGCATCCATACACCAAGGTGATGTAGTGACCAAATATGCCCTTATACGTGTCCAGCACAAACACCTATGTTCCAGAACCCATTTCCACTATTTATAACTCACTATTACAAAATTCACTATTTATAAAATGAATTCACTATTTATAACTTAGACTGGGTAGGTCGAAGTCTCCAAGGAAAATATCTGGTATTTCGTTTGTTAGATTATCGATTATTTTGTTTATCTGTTCTGTGAATTCCTCAGCCATCGCATCTGGTGGTTTGTACATTAGAATAATAGCTTGGCTTATTTTTGTTGTTTTTTTGCCCCAAGTTGTGATTTACTCCAGTTTACTCCAAGCTTTGTTGTAATTGGTCATTATTTTACAACTTGTGAGTTCCTGAATGTTGAGTATCTTAATCAATTTAAATTCTAGGTGGTGAGACCACTCATGAGTCAAGAAGTCTTAAGTATATCTCAGTGTGTATTACCACCTACCAAGGAAAAATCGGAGAACGACATTGGATCTCGAGCACGTGGCCTCTTCGAGAATGATGAAGGTACAGTACTGTATAGTCCTAATTTTTTTATGTAAAGTTATGTTCAGTATTTTAATATTTGGTTTATAAATTAAATTATATTCATCTGCCTTTTCAAAATACAGTATGGTGAAATTTCTTTCTACAGTACTCTGTACAGAAAAACATAATTACACAACCAGTTTCTATCTTGTTGACTAATCACATGGTACAGTGCTTATTTTCATCTGTATTCTTGCATTTTATTTGGCTCTAATTTCTACTTTAATCATGTCACCACAGCACACCCTTGTGGTTATTTGTCAATGTTTTAACTCTTTTACTGTGATGAGCAGTAGAACGTGCTTGATAGAAAAACAGCTGTTCATTGTGAAAACAAATTTTACCAAATACCTCCAAAATAGTTTCCACATTCTGTAACGTGTCCAGACATCTGGGGCCAGATTCACGAAGCAGTTACGCAAGCACTTACGAACCTGTGCATCTTTTATCAATCTTTGGCAGCTTTGTTTACAATTAATAAAGTTAATGAGCTCCAAAGCACCAGGAGGCTGTTTATAACAATAACAATAGTTGATTGGGAAGTATTCATGCTTGTAAACTGTTTAATAAATGTAAACAAAGCCGTTAAAGATGGAGGAAAGATGTACACGTTCGTCAGTGCTTGCATAACTGCTTCGTGAATCTGGCCCCTGGCCTTCAGGACTGACTGTAATACTGCAGTATATGTCTAAGGTTATTTTTGCTGTTTTTTCTACTAATACAGCATTTGGTAAAACTCCAAAATTACACATAGCCTTAAACTTTGTTTTGTTTGTGAAGCGAACACTATAGTAAGCCTTCTGACTCATGCAAGGCAGGTCTTGTTTACACCACCTATTTTCATTTTGTATTTATCCAGCCTATTTCTAAAACTTTCTACGGTACAGTACTGACCTCATTGGTGCCACCCGGTAGATTGTTTTAGCAATTCTCAAATTGAAAACCAATTTTTATCAATATTTTTGTGTGTGTAAGTCTGACTAATTTTTTTTTCCAACACTATTTATATGCCCTTTGTTAATGCCTCATCTCAGAAATGGCTGCAGTGTCCTTAAGCTTGGAGGAAAACAATAATCTGAATACAGTAGATTTACTTACTGGTCGAGAGTTCTCTGGTAGCAGGGATGATTCGGATTACCGTAACAGAGAACTTCATCAAAAGCTCGTTAACAGACTGAGAAATCAAAGTATCAGAGATAAGACTTCTCCGCCTCTTCCCATGCTCAATTACAGGTGAGCACTACTGTACTAGTATTGTTCAAGCTCTTTCCACTTCTCAAACTTCACTATCTTGAGGTTATCTTGAGATGATTTCGGGGCTTTTTTTAGTGTCTCCGCGGCCCGGTCCTCGACCAGGCCTCCACCCCCAGGAAGCAGCCCGTGACAGCTGTCTAACTCCCAGGTACCTATTTACTGCTAGGTAACAGGGGCATAGGGTGAAAGAAACTCTGCCCATTGTTTCTCGCCGGCGCCTGGGATCGAACCCAGGACCACAGGATCACAAGTCCAATGTGCTGTCCGCTCGGCCGACCGGCTCCCTATCACTAAAAGGATATTCTGCTGCTATTATTAATTTTAACCACATGCTTCATTACTAGGAACATCACTGCTACTGCTGTTAGCTCTTTTCTTTAAAGTTGTCCAAACTCTGTTTTTTTTTATTAGTTGGCACTTTTTTTAATCTAATTTGGTAAGGTTTCTTACCTTAGTAAGCCTTAGTAAGGTAAGGCAAGACAATTTAAAGTAATTTAATTAAATCCTTCTAAGTGAAATGTAGGTGCTAGTGAGGAAATCTGTGTTTGTGAGAAGGATTTAGGAATGGATTAGGGGTGAGAAATTATGTAACTAATCTGAAAAATTTATTAGATTTCATTAAGGTTCAATATAGTGTGGCTAGAAATCCAGCCTGTTTGTTTTTGTTTTCAACATTTTCCTTAGAGAAAATCAGTATGAGCCATGAGGATAATTCCATCCTGCACTCTGGGTACCCCTCACAGCTCCTACTGATTTTCTCATTGATACATCACGTTACTGTGATTGCTTTGTTCATTTGAAGAGAAGCGTTGGGGGGAGGGAAGGTTAGAACTCCTAGACCACCGCCAGAGTGCATTGGGGGGGGCAGTGTGTGAAACCCTGACTGGGATTCATTAGAAGCCTTAGGACCTCTTAGAGGATTTACTTGCATTGCCCGATTGAGTTTTTAATAAATATTTTCTCCCTAATATCACTAGCATCACTTTTCTGGTTCTAACATTCGACTGCTCTCTCATGAAAGAATTCACTATGTTCTTGTACAAGGATCATGCAGTCAGCAGGTGCAAAATTCAAAAATACCAAAGGGAATTGCTAAGCATCCCTGTAGTAATAATGTCCTGATGGATTCATTGGAGAATGCTGTACTCAATCCAGCTTGGAAATGGCCATCAGAAAGTCAGACTTTCTAAAAGTCAAAGCCCTCTTTAGCTCTTGTGTATGATCACAAGTAGCTCCCAAACAAGGGTTTTCACCATCTATCTGCTGGGCTGCTGGGATCAACTCGCTGTCTGGAGCACCTCGCTTACCCTATGATTTACTGACCCAAGCCAGCTTGCATGCTACCCAAGCTGAAGAAAGCAGTAGAAATGTATACAGTAGATAGGAAGAAATCCAAAATACTTGTCAATGTATGCCAATTTAATTTATAAAAACCACCAGTATATACCCTATAGTTAAAATCGCAGGTTCTTACACAAAGGATGTCAAAGAAATTTGTTAAATTCTGAAAGAACATTATGTTTAGCTACCTGATTGACAATGTGAAGGTTAAAATCCTGACAGCTTCTTCATAAATAATATCCATAGTATTATAGAAAGAAAATAATAGAACTTAAAAGAAACCCAGCAAGCTTTGGAAAAAGAAATGATGACAAATCCATGCAATCGGCTGTAGTTTTATAAGTTATTAGAAATACATATAGACAAATAAAAATTTATAAGTTATATAATAGATATGCAAATAGATTTATAAATACTGTATTTACATTCTTGGCGCAAAATTGTTACATTTCTCCAGAATATCATCTTTCCGTTGTGAGACATCTGCATGCTTTGTTCAGAGCCGTCCTTATCTCACCAACAAACACCATTACATATGCCTTCTGTCTGTTTGTATGTAATTATAGTATACTGTGAATGATATAATTAATGTACAAGTGATATCTTTGGTTTTTAATATCTAAAACCACCTGTCAGTGTGTGAGTCACTCTGTCTCCTGCTTGATGCCTTCCTCATGTAATTGAGATATTGATGGATGATGATGCTGCATTATAATTAAAATTACAGTATTGCTTAGTCACTACCAAGGTGGTAATCCTAGGTCTAAATATTTTGGCTACTGTTCTGTTATTTAGATACATTATATTATGGTGTTCTGTCATGAGAGAGAGTGAGCTGGTGATAGAGAGTCGGCTGCTTTAGATTTGCTAAACAACCTAAAAAAAAAAAAAAGACAAGACATTTGTTTTGCAGCCCTCTGAGTTTTTTTTGTTTTTTTTACAGCTGCCTTGTATTGGTATACAGTACATTCCAGAAAATATAATGATTGATATAGCAAGGGAATAATTATCTTGCATACATGATTTTTGTTTTGAAGTATTGTACTATACATATGTGGTCTTGCAGGGCGGATTTGGAGAGAGCGCTAGATGAGAAGAGAATAGTGATTGTTGCTGGTGACACTGGCTGTGGCAAGAGTACACAGGTTTGTTATAGTGTGTTCATTTCATGATGAGATCATTGGTTTTGGTAACTAAAGTTGTTCACCCATTACAGCAGTTGTTTAATGTGTTACAAACTCTCATGCTTTGTCGTGTCCATCATTTGAATGGTATTTATTGTAGGGTTTTAAGAATAATTTTAATATAATATTTACAGCATATTTATAAAAAAAAAATACCCAGGGGGGTATATTAGACTTTGTATTCATGACATTGAGGCTTTAATTGTTAACAAGATCACTAATTATGTACTGTATTTCAGGCATTGACTGTAAATTAAAAGCTCATTACTAAGCAGGCTACTCAGTTGTGTGCATTTCCTTACTGTTTGTCTTAGCTTACACTATGCCTTTCTGAGTGAGCCTTGGTATGCTAGATGGGATTCCCCAGGCATCGCCGTATACACAGCCTCTGCTCTCACATGGTGATGGGTAGAGGGAGCAACTAGGTGGTCAATCAAGCACTCCAGTTGCTTGCTCAGAAATAAGCTTTAAATCTAAAATCAACACCTAATTTGTGGTTGTTTATTTCTAGGTTCCACAAATGATACTGGATCAATGGATAAAAGAAGACAGAGGTTGCGAGTGCAATATTCTAATTACACAACCCAGGCGCATTTCTGCAATATCTTTGGCAAAACGAGTTGCAAAAGAAAGAGGTGAAAAGGTAAGATGAATGTTAAAGCAAGACCCGAGTAATACTGTATACTGTGCGGTGTAAGTAGTATGGTGTCCTGAAACTAGTCACTAAAGTCAAAACTTTTTTATCTTCAATGGTTAGGACAAGAAGGTATTTTCTTGGGAACTTGTTGCAATAAATAGAGATATGGTTTCATTATCATTGCCAGAATAACATTTCTGGCATCTCCACTTAGGCAAATTCAAACTCCCACTAAATATATATCAAAACTTGCCACTTCCAAAACAAAAACCAGCCCTTCGATATTTTACTAAATGGGTCCATTAACTTTTCCACACCCCAAACTATTTCTGTGTTGAGATTTTGTATAAACTTTTGTTATTAACCCGGTAAAAACAGTATTTATGGAGGTACAGTTCAATGTTCAGAACTACACTCAAAATTAAAATTACCCATAAGATCTTTTTCAAACCATACTCATCCACTTTTTTCTCATGCTTAAAACTTTGATAAAATTCACCAATTGGAATCAATGGGATTCATTTTGGGAATCTGTTCCAGTTAATAATTTAGAAGATATAGTTTTATGACCATCCTCAGAATAACATTTCTGCACTTCTACTCACCTAAAGTCTTGACCTTCACAAAACTATATAAAAGTGAGAAAAATCATTTATAAGAAATTACTTTCCCCCTAGTGATCTGGATTTCACTGCGGCCCTCTCTGGGGAAGCACTGTATGTAATCCAATATCGCCTCACAATTTTTGCATTACTGAGTATATTGCTGTGATGTAATGAATAGCAACTAAACAAGTCTTGACTGTACTGTACAGTATATGCTTTTCAAACTATTGTAGACGTTTTGAATAAAATATATTTATTTGGATTCCTACTTTATTCTTAAAATACATTCTTGTAAGAAAGTTGTCACTTGGGATTAACTGCACAATAAATCTATGAGAACTTGTTTTAGTTGAAGAAACTTGTCAGCGTGGTGTGAACACTATTTAAAACTTTTATCCGCAGATAAAATTGCATGTTTGTTTTTGGAAGAGCTTTCATATTGCTAATCTTTAACCCCTGCACTGTGCACCTTTTATAATGACATTCCCGTGGTGCGCCAAATATAAATTGTTCCAAAAACAGTATTTGTTCTTTTTTGTATTGTTAATTAGCACCCAGGAAGCACGAAAATTCACGTATAAAGTCTCTATCTCTTGTAGTTTAGCCGTAGTTGCCTGGAGAAGTTGCATTTTGTGGGGGGTAAAAATTAGGGGAGTTGCCACATGGGAATAACATTGTTGATTTATTTTCAATGTTTCTAACTTTATTTAGCTTTTTTGCTCTAATAAGTTGTATCTGTGTCAAAGATGGTGTTCATTATGTATAACTTTGAGAATATACATACAGTATATAGATATTATGTGCATAAATATATGTACACCATGTATTTATTCATACTAATATAAATATATATAGGCCTATATATATAAACATAAATCTTATAATTGCACATAGCACACATTTTGCCTGAAATATGTAATGATAATCACTCACTTGCTGCTGTGAAACTTTCAGTGGCTCATAGTATGGCTGTCCTACATGTTCCTAAAACATGTTTCTTAGGAACGTTTCATAGGCCTTAGTAACCTAGAACACGTTACTAAGCCCATGAAAGGAAAGTGAGGGACTCGGGATGTTTTTTAAGGTGGGAAATAGTTAACTGGAGGTCTGAGGAAGCAAATGTGAGCCCCCTTGTATGCATGGGAGTTTCGAATATTGTGATACACTAACATAATCATATGTCGGCTGGCGCATTTTCTGGCGAACGAGTTTTCTCGGCCAGCGCAGTCCAAAGGTTAAGGAAGAGTACAGTAGTAAGTGAGGAAATAAGTCATCAAATATGTAGATAAGTAAGCATTACTAAGTTGTATTTCTTTTCATAATACCTGGAAGTGACAAAATAAATGAGTGCAGATACAGTAATTGAAGTGTATTCGTTTTTATTTTATTTTTGTCTCCAGTAGTTTACACTCGGTAATCCTAATTATGTGGGGCCCGTCCTCATTTGAGTTAACCAAATGTTCGACATAGTTAAACTTCTTTCCAGATAGTATGTCCCAAAATTAACATATTAAATTTTTTAATTTTTTGTTGAAGCCCAAGAATTGTTCTTGGACTTCTAATGTACAGGTACTGAAAGATACAGTATTTCCATTTTATGCTGATTAAAATCAACTTAATGTCTAAGATTTGCTTTTCTGCAAAATACAGTATGTCTTACATTAGTTTTAGTTTGCTATTTTAACATTAATGTCTTTACAGGTGGGTGACAGTGTTGGCTATCATGTACGTTTAGAATACAAACGCCTTCGGAACCGGGGTGGCATTATGTTCTGCACAACAGGAATGCTGCTTCAGAATATTCACTCCAACCCTAATTTGGATGGCATATCACATGTTATTTTGGATGAAATTCATGAACGTTCAGTGCAGACAGATCTATTGTTAATCGTATTACGCCGCCTGCTGCTAAGTAAGAGTAATTTAAGATTAATCCTAATGAGTGCTTCCTTGAGCACAGAGCAGCTGCAGCAATATTTTGGTAAAGCTGAGACCACATTGCTAGAGGTTCCTGGCACACTGTATCCCCTCACTAGACACTACCTTCCTCATGCCTTAGACACACTCAAGATTGACTCTAGACGCTATAATATACAAGCTCTCTTGGAACCCGAAACTCGTCCTATGGTCAATGTTGACCTTGTGGTTGATGTCATTCGGAGAATAGAAATATCACGACCTCCGGGAGCTATTCTCTGTTTTCTTCCTGGATGGCAGGATATCTCTCTAATTCAAACCAGACTTCTAGAAGATGAACATTTAAAGAAAAAACTGTGTGTATTGCCTCTTCACTCTCGCCTCGGCTCGCAAGATCAAGAGATGATATTTGAAGACCCGCCTGAAGGAAAGAGAAAAGTGGTACTCGCTACCAATCTGGCCGAAACCAGTTTGACAATAAATGATGTTGTATTCGTGGTTGACACTGGGTTTCATAAGGAATATAGGTGAGTATTTAAATTTTGTTTTCAACCAGGATAAACTTGCTTTGAATTTGTAAGGTTGATTGAAATGAATCATTAATGTTTGTTATATTGTATAGCCAGATAAAAATATTTTGGATGGGAAATATTTGTGTTTGAGATTCCACTTTACTGTTTATCATTGTGTTTTAGGTTTTGATATTTTTTAACATACAGTACAGCATATGAATCGTGTATTAATACAGTATTAATTTTCTATTCTGAAAGAAATATTTACCCAGATTAATAAGATTAAAATTTAATTCCTCCTGTCAGTATTATTGCCATATAAGTATATTTACATAAATCTGCAATCAAAAGTGTAATAGAGCTGATAATGGTATTGCCTCTCCACCATAAAAATTGTGGTTAGAACTCACTTTCCTGAGTTTTTAAACTGAAATATTATAGTAATACATCCTTGCTTTAGTGTTTGTGTCACTCAGAATATATATTACATATAGTATTAACATTTATATTATTAAGTTGTTGATTGCCGCTGTTACATATCTTCCATGGTGTCTAGTCCCATTAGCATACACTAAAAAATCAAGCACCAGTTAAAAAAGGTATTAAATAATAACAACATTTCTCAGATACAACAGTAAGAAAGACTTGACTGTACTTGGAAATCATTGGATATCTCGGGCAAATAGTCAGCAGCGGGCTGGTAGGGCTGGGAGAGTTCAGCCTGGTGAGGTCTTTCATCTTTACTCCACTCGTATTCACCAAGAAATGAGTCAATTTCCAGTTCCAGAAATCATGAGAATTCCTCTGGAGCATGTCATTCTTCAGTGTAAGGTTAGTATAACAGCCATCTTAACTAGAAAAGTAATAGTGAAGTTTTTTGTTCACACTGTTTTCTTAATTAGCATGAGGGATACATTACTAGAAAACCTTGTACATGGTGAAATTGCCAAAATTAAAGGTAAGGTTATATGGGAAAAATTGAAAAGTATTCCACAAATCGTTCAAAGCCAGGGTGTTTTAAATTCTTGTCTCGGCAAAACAAGTTCTTTACGAATAGAATACATTACCAGAAAAGTGTCCAATCAAAAATATTATAAACACCAGTCATTTTTCCATTGAATGTTATGTGCCAAACTGAAATATATTCCAGCCCCAGATATTCAACTTTTGTACTACATTTTTAACATAATAAATACTTATAAGAATTCTACAATAACATAAACATCAAACTATGGTCCCCGTGGTGCAGTGGTAAAGCACGCCCGGCGCTTCGCAAGCGCTTTGGCCTAGGTTAGTATCCTGGCTGGGGAGGATTCACTGGTCGCCAATCCTTAACTGTAGCATTGGGCATCAATCCTTAACTGTATCCTCTGTTCACCCAGCAGTAAATGGGTACCTGGTGGTTAAACAATTTGGGGGGTCATATTCCGGGGAAAAATTCAGATTAAGAATCTGCCCAAATTGCTATGCATGCTAGTGTTTTTACAAGAATGTAACAACTCTCATATATAAATAACAAAAAAATAAAACGTGGGATGTGAATTTGCTTGCAAATAAATGATGGGGGGGGGGAGTATTATGAGTAAAATTGTGCACCAGTTAACAGCCACTGCTCCTTTCATACCACTCGCTACCTCACATCCCTCATTACCACCATTCATCTCGCATCCCTCCTTACCAACAGCCATCTCATTTCCTTCCCCTCAACCATACTCCCTTCTGCTGCCCACCACTCTACTTCCCTGCCTACTACTGTACTTCCCTGACTACCATGCATCCCCCTCCCCACAAAACCATCTACACTGCCTTATTTTTTTCAGTCTCATTGTGGAGACGAAAGTGTGTTGAGTTTCCTCTCCGAAGGGCTCAGTATTCCCTCACGTAGATTGATCAGTTCAGCCATCAACACACTAAAGAAGTTGGATATGCTAAAATCGGATGATCAGAAATGTACTGAAACTCTTACTGCACTCGGACATCGTGTAGTAAATTTCTCGACTCCACCTCCTCTGTCTAAAGCTCTTGTTTATGCATCAATTTTCAGGTTAGTATTTACTAAGTTTCAATGCAACACTCACGGTTCTCTAATGAATATTGTCAGTGCAGTACAGTGTAACATTGCCTAGTTAGTTGTTACTGTATTTCTTTTGATTTCATAAATATTTCTGGATAAAATCTGATCAAGGGTGTGTGTGTGTCATGTTTATCAGGCAACACGGTATGTGCCAAATATAGTCGTAAAACAAAGTAAACCAGCACAAATATTTCATCCTCTTATAAGTAATTATTATATTTTAAATATAAGCCTTTCATATAAATTAATTCCTGTGCTATACAATATTTAATGTAACCTAATTTATGAAGTTTAGGTATACTGTACTTTGAAAATATCTTCTAATATCCTGATGCTTATACAATACAGTAATTGTAAAGATCCAGGTATTTCGTGCCAGTTGCTTTTAAATCATTGTTAGCTGGGCATTTACGAATATAATGCTACAGAATGCATTCTAGTGTTTTTCATAAGTTTACAATTTAAGTGCTCATTGTTGGAAGATTCCTTACCTGAAGGTACCTGCCAGAAGTAACAATATCCCAGCTTAATTCTGGTATTTACCAAGTCACTGTTTGGTGGACACTTTGTGCAGTCTGTACATACAGTTTTTGGTTCTAAATAAACTCGCCACTCCTTATACTGTACTCGTGCTTTCTTCCTATGTTAGCTTTAGTTTCTTGTAATGGTGTGGTTGTAACAATAAAGACTAGGATACATATGTCTAATTCAATTTCATAGTACATGCAGTTTTGTCTGTCTTGTTTGTGTCATGTTGGGCAATACCTATGTGAGGCAGTATTCATTCAAAGGAGATTGTGAAATGGATACCATCATTGCAAATACAGCATTGCAGATGTTCCCATATTTCCAAAAGATTCACTAGTGTTAAGTGCTGTTGCTTTGAGTAGCACTTAAGTTTCATTATTTGTTTTGATGGTGGATGTGTGACACTTGTATTAAAGAGTACAAATAAGGTGGAATATCATTATTTAGTGTATTGCATACAAGAGGGATACAGTATTCAGATATTCAGACTGATTAAGTTGGCAGTGTTTCTAAGTAGTGTTAGGGGTGTTAAATATCTTAGAATCTTAATACAGAATGTTGTGTTTAGTTTTACACTTCTTTTAACTACTCCTATGTTGATAAATCTTTTGTATTTGGGAAAAAGAATTTTTCTGCATATTGGGTGCCTGTGTTGTACTGAATAATTGGAACGTCAACAAACCACAAACACATTTCTTAGTGCATATGATATACAGGATAGTCTTGTTTGAAATTAAAGCATCAGAATTGTTTTTACTATAGCTAGCTTTCTATTTAAAAAAAAATGTTAACCACTTTTTGGGATATATCAAGAATGGTAAAAGAAATGTTTTGGATTTGGAATTTCATTGCTTTAGTTACAATGTGTCTTGCACTAGACAGTTTCCCTGAGCCAATTGGGAAATGCTAGTTTTTTCTCCCATTTTTAAGAAGAAATTGGTGGGATGATGCACTGGAAGGGACAGGCATGAGACAGGAAAGATAAATACATATTCAAGTTCAAGTAAGTTTATCGAGATAATTAAATACATCCCAAAAGGATAGAGTAGCTTAAGCGATTTCATCTACTTCAAGTCTCTCAAGGGGCACACAATTGTATACAGTAGACAGATAATAATATACATTACAAATGCATATCCTTAATTTGATATTCATGACATAGTACATATTACAAAATATATTACACTCTTGGGGCAATGTGCCCCTTGAACACTCCCTCTTAGAGGTCTAGCAATGTTTATCACGGCTACTTTCTCCTCACTTGTGCAGCTACTAACATTAAAGGTGATTTTATTCCTAACTATGTCCTCCCCTTCTATTTTTCTAAGCTGTGTTTCCTTACATTTTGCACATAGTCTCCCTTGCTTAGCACCTTTTTATGATTACTTACTTCCCACTTAACTTCATCTACCTACCATAGCTAACTTTTCTAGTGCTTCAATCCTCTTCCCTACACACAAAAATCACAACAGCGTGATATATCAAATGAACAAATCTACAAGCGCTCTGATGAGGGTTCGAACCTACGCACAGGATGTTCCCAGAAGCGCCTTAAGTAAACTGTACCACGACATGGTTAAAAAAAAAAATTCAGTCTCATTGTGGAGACAAAAGTGTGTTGAGTTTACTCTCTGAAGGGCACAATATTCCTTCACGTGTCGTGGTACACGTGAGTACAATCGCTATACTGTACCATATAGTGGTACAGTTGACTAAGGCCTTCTGGGAACATCCTGTGCATAGGTTCGAACCCTCATCACGGCCCTTGTGGATTTGTTCTCTTCTCTAACTTTGAGAGATTCCAAAATCTGTGTACATTTTCAAAATTCATGACATTGTTCTGCACCTCATCACCATGAGGGTACACTATACCAGCTTCATTTCCTACTGCCACTAGGCAGCTAGCCATAATCATTGCCATTCCTTTCTCCCAATCCTCTTGGTCACGGGGGCTATCGTTCTCTCCACTGTTTCTTGTTCCTGCTGTATGATTGTGTACCCCTTCGGAGCTTCATTTACCCTGCTTGTAGGTGTCGGCTTGGAATCTCGGATGGGGCTTCGTGGGACATAGAGAGGAACCAGCATTGTGAATGCCTTGATAATTGCAGCAAGATAGCAAAAAAAATTTCACCTTTCACAATCTTGACTCTTTACTCTCGCGAGTCATGCTTGTGTTGAGGAACCCATGGCATGGTATATAACAATTTCTTTTATGTTTAGAAACCAAAAAAGCTGAAAAACAATAAAATTCTTTACAAAGAATTCAAACGCGATCGTCACTAAGTGGGAGCCACTGGTGAACTGAAGCGTGGGAGCCTGTGCCATCAGGAACCATCCCCTTGGTCAACCCATACGTGTATCAACCAGCTCGTAAACTGATTCAAATTTTAAGAAGAAATTGAGCTCGTAACCAGAAAAATTTGTAAAGAGGGTCATTCATAAGGCGAAGTTCCACTGTATTTACCTAGTTGTATTCACCTAGTTGTGCTTGTGGGGGTTAAGCTCTGCTCTTTTGGCCCACCTCTTAACTGTCATCAACTGTTTAATAACTACTATTTTTTTTTTTCCCCACACCACACAAACACCCCTCCCCCCCAGGAAGCAGCCCGTAACAGTTGATTAACTCCCAGGTACCTATTTACTGCTAGGTAACAACAGCATCAGGGTGAAAGAAACTCTGCCCATTGTTTCTCGCTGGCGCTGGGAATCGAACCCGGGACCACAGGATCACGTGTCCAGCGTGCTGTCCAGTCAGCCACCACCCCCATGTGTGTGTGTGTGTGTGTGTGTATATATATATGTGTATATATATGTGTATATATATATATATATATATGTCGTACCTAGTAGCCAGAACACACTTCTCAGCCTACTATGCAAGGCCCGATTTGCCTAATAAGCCAAGTTTTCCTGAATTAATATATTTTCTCTAATTTTTTTCTTATGAAATGATAAAGCTACCCATTTCATTATGTATGAGGTCAATTTTTTTTTATTGGAGTTAAAATTAACGTAGATATATGACCGAACCTAACCAACCCTACCTACCTAACCTAACCTATCTTTATAGGTTAGGTTAGGTAGCCGAAAAAGTTAGGTTAGGTAGTCGAAAAACAATTAATTCATGAAAACTTGGTTTATTAGGCAAATTGGGCCTTGCATAGTAGGCGGAGAAGTGCATTCTGGCTACTAGGTACGACATATATATATATATATATATATATATATATATATATATATATATATATATATATATATATATATATATATATATATATATATATATATATATATATATATATATATATATATATATATATATATATATATATATATATATATATATATATATGAATATGACAATGTCAGACCACTGAGGAAAATGAAACAGGAATTTCCTTAAGTACTTTCGTATATTAAATACATCTTCAGAAGGAATGAAGATGAAGTACAATACATTAAATACATTCCTTCTGAAGATGTATTTAATATACGAAAGTACTTAAGGAAATTCCTGTTTCATTTTCCTCCGTGGTCTGACATTGTCACATTCTTAATCACGTGTTTATTTTCGTGATATACACACACACATATATATATATATATATATATATATATATATATATATATATATATATATATGCGAACAAGCCTGAATGGTCCCCAGGACAATATGCAACTGAAAACTATATATATATATATATATATATATATATATATATATATATATATATGTCGTACCTAGTAGCCAGAACGCACTTCTCGGCCTACTATGCAAGGCCCGATTTGCCTAATAAGCCAAGTTTTCCCGAATTAATATATTTTCTTTAATTTTTTTCTGATGAAATGATAAAGCTACCCATTTCATTATGTATGAGGTCAATTTTTTTTTATTAGAGTTAAAATTAACATATATATATGACCGAACCTAACCAACCCTACCTAACCTAACCTAACCTATCTTTATAGGTTAGGTTAGGTTAGGTAGCCGAAAAAGTTAGGTTAGGTTAGGTTAGGTAGGTTGGGTAGTCGAAAAACAATTAATTCATGAAAACTTGGCTTATTAGGCAAATCGGGCCTTGCATAGTAGGCTGAGAAGTGCGTTCTGGCTACTAGGTACGACATATATATATATATATATATATATATATATATATATATATATATATATATATATATATATATATATATATATATATATATATATATATATGAATATGACAATGTCAGACCACTGAGGAAAATGAAACAGGAATTTCCTTAAGTACTTTCGTATATTAAATACATCTTCAGAAGGAATGAAGATGAAGTACAATACATTAAATACATTCCTTCTGAAGATGTATTTAATATACGAAAGTACTTAAGGAAATTCCTGTTTCATTTTCCTCCGTGGTCTGACATTGTCACATTCTTAATCACGTGTTTATTTTCGTGATATACACACACATATATATATATATATATATATATATATATATATGCGAACAAGCCTGAATGGTCCCCAGGACAATATGCAACTGAAAACTATATATATATATATATATATATATATATATATATATATATATATATATATATATATATATATATATATACCTCTGGAATTTTATATATATTTATATATATAAAATCTATTTTCCAGGTATAAATACATATTATATTGGGAAACAAAAAATGTTAAGACTTAATATAGGTTTAAAGTCTATTCTCAACTTAATCTTACTTGTGAATGAATAGTAATATATGTTTTGAGTGAACTGATTAGTATATACTGTACTGCAATTGTCTTGTATTTCAGGTGCTTGGATGCAGTTCTTACTATTTCTGCTGTTCTGACTAGTGGACGTGGTATCTTTCACAACAGTATAGAGTTGCGGGCAAAAATAAGGGAAACTAAATTTAAATTTGACTCTACCAGTGATCTTCTAGCAATGTTGGAACTCTTTAAAGATTGGAATGAACAGAAATATTATAATGACAAGCTCTTCTTTTGCAATGATCATAATCTCAGTCATAGATCTCTACTCTTTAATCAAGGTAAGTTAGATACAGTATTATTATATTTGACCAATTATCTACAACTATCTATGTTGTACCTAGTAGCCAGAATGCAGTACTCGGCCTACTATGGTTATCTTGAGATGATTTCGGGGCTTTAGTGTCCCCGCGGCCCGGTCCTCGACCAGGCCTCCACCCCCAGGAAGCAGCCCGTGACAGCTGACTAACACCCAGGTACCTATTTTACTGCTAGGTAACAGGGGCATAGGGTGAAAGAAACTCTGCCCATTGTTTCTCGCCGGCGCCTGGGATCGAACCCAGGACCACAGGATCACAAGTCCAGCGTGCTGTCCGCTCGGCCGACCAGCTCCTCGATGCAAGGCCCGATTTGCCTAATAAGCCAAGTTTTCCTGAATTTATATATATTTTCTATTTTTTTCTTATGAAATGATAGAGCTATCCATTTAATCATGCACGAGTTAATTTGTTTATATTTGAGTTAAAAATAAGCTCTCAAAATAGTCAACTTGAAATATTGTTTAGTCTTGTACAATTTTGTAATCAGGTATTGTTCCTTTGCAGGCATAAAACAAGTTTATGGTAACCATTTATATGATGGGTTATTATTAGATGAAGAAGATATTTCATCGAAGTATTCTTCATGGAATGTCAATTGCCACAACAGACAGCTTGTACTGGGTGTGCTGCTTGCAGGAATTGGACGCGTGTTGCACATTCAACGAGGCATCTTCTCAAAGGGCATCCTAAACTCTGACTCTATCATCATTAAGACTGAGTATATTTTATTCTGGTTTTCATAAATTTTTATTATAAAGCTAATTTGGTAATAGTTAGTAAACACAGCTTTCCCTACTGTTTATAACAAAGGATTTCCTCATTTAATTTCACCACTTTCACTCCGTATTTAAAATCTTTAATTTTGATTGTTCTATCTTGGATATGTGACTGATAAGAGGAATTTGTACAATAGCCTAAGCTGATTCCTCCCTACCCCATGAAAATAGGAAATGGGAAAATGATAATCTGATGTATAAATCTTAAATGTGTTTAAGCCATATGTTATCAGACTAAATATTTATTTCAGTGAAGGTGAACGCATAGAAACTGGAAGTGAATGTGTTCTTCATCAAATTCCAAGGGATAGATCTGTTTTTTCAAGTCATCTCCTGTGTGCTAATCTAAGTAGAGATGATTTATCAAGAAGGACACTGGCACGTGACCTCTCAGTATTACATCCTCTTTGCATTGCATTGTTTGGTGGTCACTTGCTTACATTGGAGGAATCTGAAAGTGGATGTTTGATTATCATTGATGGAAAAGAAAAATTGACTTTTCAGGTTGACAAAAGGTAATATTATGTGTGCCAGACTGACTTACATAATGCCACTATAGTTATACAAAAACTCCAATATTTATCCATATGCTGAATATATAATTTGTCATATCTAATAAGCAGCACTGTACTACTTGGCCTAGTTTCTTGTACCTGCTAGGCCTAGTAAGCAAGGCCCATTTGCATATTTGTAAATATTTCAAAACTAGCCCAGCTGACTATTAGCATTGGAAAGCTTGGTTTGGTCAGGGTTTTTAGGGGGTTTCATTTGAGGCAAAACTTATATTTTGATTTGTGCCATTTGCCATTCTCTTGAAATTGTTTGCCTCTTCAACGTGCCACCCCTTTTCATCGCCAATTGATTATTAAGGTTTCATTTTATATATATATTTTGGATAAAAATAATTTTATTTGCAGGACTGGCATGTTTATATGCAAGCTCCGGTATGTAGTGGATGAAGTGGTGGAATATATAATCGAGACACGAGGTCTTGGTGCATCTCCATCACAAGTAAACAAGTTCTGTGATGACCTTATACAGTATGTGAGTTATCTAATAGAAAATAGTGAATCAACCACTATGAAAAAATCTTTGGACATTCCTCTTACATGAATGCATCAGTGTAATAACACTATAATTTTGTACATTAAAAATGGTCTTAATATTGTACATAGAGAAAATCTACAGGAGCCGTGATGAGGATTCAGACCTATGTGCTGGGTATTCCCAGACACACTAGACGACTAGGTCACGACATGGTCAAGAGACTTGCAATCTGGGATCCTGCTGAACCCATGAAGATTCCCGAGGCTGCTTCTGAAATCGAACCAGTGTTTCACACAATTTCCCCTGTGCACTCCTGCTCTGTCATCTATGAATTCCACCTCTGGCAACCCTAATATCTACCCCTGACAGTGTAATTTCTGTGTATTGAAAGAGGGGTGTCAGAGGTAGAATTATTCCTAGATGACAGAGCAAGAGTGCACAGGGGGGGGGGCATCGTGTGAAACCCTGGGGAATCCTCATGGGTTCAGCAGGATCTCGGGTCCATTCTTTTGTCCATGTCATGGTCTATTGTGTGTATGGGAAAACCCAGTGCATAGGTTTGAATCCTCATCATGCCTCCTGTGGGTTTTCTCATTTATATATCACATTGTCATTTCTCAGTGTACTGTACATAAAGGTAAAATAAAATACTATAAACAAGTGCTTATTAATTACCATATTAAATTATATTTAATTCCAAACATACAATGAATAACAAGTTTTTCCACACATTTTTGTGAGGGTAGCATTTGTGCATCCCACAAGAACAGGATCTGGACTTAACCCACTGAGGTTGTGATGAGTGCACTGGTGAGATGCCCACCTTACTGTTGTGAGGTTGGTTAACTCGGTTCTTCGGTGTGACCAAGTACATTAGTTAATCTGGTGAGCGAGACATGATTTCACATTGTATTGTCCCATTCCCTATCTTAATCAAATGCACACCCACTACTCGTTTAAGTCCCACCAATTCGAAATAATTGTAGTGGTCACTGAACGCTTCCTCTTATGTTAGACATATATCTAATTTATTTTAAATTGGCAATTACAAAACAAATGTACTGTAAGGAAGTGGAAGAGGCTCTTTTGATTTGTTATTGCTCATATCTATTAGCATCTATTTCCATCCCATAACTGCCGTGTGAGGAAGTAATTATCAAAGAAGGCACCAAGCCGGGAAGGCTATGTAGCATCATAGCCATGTGAGGAAATAGATACTAATAAACATAAGCAATAATATAAATCAAAAGAGCCTCCTCCACTTCCTTACAGTACATGTACATTTGTTTTGTATTTCCAATTAAAATCTAAATTATAAAGACACGTCAAACACAAGACAGTGACAGTGACCACTACAATTATTTAGAAATGACGGGATTTAAACGAACAGTGCGCACATACATTTGATTAAAAAACACAGGGAATGGGACAATACAACGTGATATAATGTCTCACTCATCAGATTAACTAATGTACTTGGTCACACTGAAGAACCAAGGTAATTAACCTCACAACAGTGAGGTGGCATCTCATGAGCGCACTGAACACACAACCTCAGTGGGTCAAGTCCAGATCCTGTCCTCGTGAGATGCAGGGATGTTACCCTCATTAAAACATGCAGGAAACTTTACACACAGAGGCATAAACATTTTCTAATATACAATATGTTCAATTGTGTATTAGTGCAAACACTGACAAATGAAAGATAAAAATTAACAAAAATAAAGCAAACATACTTTTACTAAGACATTTACCTTAATAAAAATAAATGCTACACTTTATATATCAGTCATTACAATTTAAGGCAACACCAATATGGCTGGGAACTCGGCAAAATTCAACTGTCTTAAATGTGCTAGAGATAAGAAAAAACCAGTACAGTACTTGATTTCATCCACCACAGGATGCAAGGTTAGATGACTTCAGATCCATGAGGGTACCACGAGTCAACCACAATGACAAAAGAATCGTAACATCAGAAATGTAGCCGACGAAAAGCATACAAAATTGCATATAGTTCAGCTGTGAAGATGCTAACCTCCAGGGGCAGGCAGCACATAGGTTTAGTCAGGAAAGTCAACAGAGTAGCCAACACTGTTGGCAGACTTAGAAACATCTATGAACAATGCAATGGAATGGGAGTGAAAAAAAAAAGTGTTCAAGGAAAAGGCATTAAACAACAGCATAAACAGCAGCATGTTCAGCGGGTACAAGCCTTTACCACATGGGTCAAAGTCTTGCAAAACTTTGCAAGTGGGACCCTCCATGGGGTCAAGGTTGGAACAACACTTAACAAAAGATCTGCAAATGTGAATTAGAAGAATCTTGAAAATGAGTTGTCCTTACATAAAGAAAAGGGAGAAAAAATTAGTAACTGTCAAAGCATAAATAAAATAAAGAGTAAGGATGTTGCAGATACCATGCAAGGTAGCAAAGATCACAATGATCCTGCAGAGATAGGACCTCAGTTTCGATGTACAAGTTCTGGGTGCGAGATGAAAAAAAGGTACCATATCTGAGGCATAACCCAGTATGGTGCAGAGCATAGATATAATGAAGGGTCAAGGGAGAGGAGAGGAATCGTCGGGACAGCCATAATCGAGTTCTGAAAGCACAAGAGTGTGCATCAGCTTCCAAAGGAAGTATGGGACAAACTTATCAGTTTAACAGTAACTTTATACAAAATGGGGGAATTACGATAGTGACAACAGGAGACAAGGAGCAACATGAATCTGAGTAGCAGTCATAGCACAAGCCTTAGTTGTACAGAATTTGGTGGATCTTGATTTGAAGGGGCCCGACAGCTGAGTGGACAGTGCTTCGGATTCGTAGTCCTGAGGTTCTGGGTTCGATCCCTGGTGGAAGCGGAAACAAATGGGCAGAGTTCCTTTCACCCAGCAGCAAATAGGTACCTGGAAATTAAACAGCTGCTACGGGCTGCTTTCTGGGGGGTGTATAACAAAAAGGAGGCCTGGTCGAGGACCAGGCCACAGGGACGCTAAGGCCCGAAATCATCTCAAGATAACCAAGATTACTGTTGCCAGGATGGCACATTATCAACTACAAGTTGGAGCTGTTGTTGAAGAAAAGGAGTGTCATTTCTGTGACAGCAGAGAGATCAACAGAGATCAGAGTGCTAAGAAAATTCCAAGGAGGAAAGGAGACCACTTAGGCCAACTAGGAAAAAACAGTTGTGCTCAGAACACTACCATGAGAACACCATATTGTTGAAAAAGTCAGAGAAAGTGGAACAAAGTCTCACTCCAAACAATGACGAAGGAAGAGTGGGAGATTGCCATGAAGGCCAACAGAATGTATACTTGGTAGAAAATATTGTATCTCCAGGTGGTTATAAGCCTTTTCTAGGTCAAGAAGAATGGTAACAACAGAGGTACTGTATTTGCAGTAAAGGCAGTATGGATGCAGCCTCCTTCAAGTCAACTAAGATATCAGTCATGCTGCGACACTTGCGAAAGCCAAATCAGGAGAGGAGAGGAGGTAGCAATGATGTTTCAAGAACCACATTAACACTTTCGTCCGGCGGCGACGCAGTTTGCATCAATAAATAAATTGATGGATGTCCACTGGTGATGTACGTTGCTTCAAAATTTAAAATATTTGTTAAAATTATATTTGTTATCCAATCATTATGGGACTAGTATTAAAATGTGCACCTTTAGATTGCGAACAATTTGATACTAAAATGAACGACGTAGCACAACAATTGAGGTCAGAACATTGGAAAGATTATAAATACTGTGTGGTGATGAGTGTCCAAAATTAAAAATATTTGTTAAAATTACATTTATTGTTCGATTATTATGGGACTAGTTTTAAAATGCCTGCTTTTAGATTGGGAACAATTTGATACCAAAATGAACAATGTAGCTCGTAAACCGAGATCAGAACACTGGAAAGAGTATATACGTTAGGTGCGCGCTCCCAGGAAATGCCAGGCCCATCTTGGAGTGGGTTGGGGTGCATGCGCCTGGTGCGTGAAAATTTTAACCAAACATTAACAAAATTTACAGACATAACTTGTCAGAACAATGAGGCAAAAATCCTTAAGGGAAGTCTCTCAAGTACCGGATTTCCAAATGAGAAGAATACCTGCTTCAAGCCAATCCTCAGGGACTAATGTTACTTCCCAAACATGATTATAGATATTCAGCAAATAGTGAAAGACACACTGAGGGAAGTGATGAAGCATCTCATAATGAGCAGTCCCCGTGGCACAGTGGTAATAACTTTGAAAGTATATAGCAGAGACAAATGCCACCATCACTTGATACAAAAACACAAACCTTTACCTGTAATTTTTTTTTTTGCTGCTTCATTTGTAGCTTGCAAGACCTGCTTCTGTTTGAAAATAATTATGGTACTGTATATGAATAGTAGCAGCAAAATAAATGAACACCTGATATTCAGGCAAAATATCTACCCACACAACACCCCATTTAAGCTTTCCTTTGCCTTAATATGATTACACCTCCATCACATTGTAAAGAATATTAAAATGTAAGTTTACAGTCTCATTTTTCAACACATTCGAATGAACCCCATTTAATGATGATTCATAGTTTTGGCAGTCATCTGTATTTTTACAGGATACAGCTCATAAGCAAACTGCATTTTACCAGAGTTTACCTGAGAACCACTAACACTAGTAGCCTCGATGAGGACAGGAAGCCGGCGGCTTATGAAAGGTCCCCCATTTGCCTTTATGATCTTTTCCAACTGTACTTTAAAAGTTAACAGTGTTTTGTCATTTACAGCTTCAGCGGGTAGGCAATTCCATGGATGTATAACCCTGTGGGTGAAAAAGCACCTGTTCTGTCCTACATTGTAGCTTGTTAAGCTTGAAACCGTTGCTCCTTGTTTGTGTTACATCTGACCTTTTGAAGAAATTTTCCAGATCAACATCCTCCAAATTGTTCAGTATTTTAAAAGTTTTAATGAGATCCACCCTGTCATGCCTGATTTGCAGTGTTGTAGGCCCTGTGGCCCTTGACTGTTCCTTGTACATGAGTTGACTTAGCTCTTGGAATGATTTTTGTTGCCTGGTGGTGCACTTTCTCCAGAGCAGCTGTGTCCTTCTGAAGATCAGGTTTCCATGCTTGGATACATTAATCCAACTAAGGGCACACCAGATATTTATACAATTGAATCACTACCTCCTTTTCCTTAAAGTCAAAGGTACTCTTGATTATTCCAAGTGTTTGGTTAGCTTTTTTGACAGCTGTACCTACCTGCTATGCAACTTTCATTGAGTGGTGGATTTTAAATCCAAAGTCCTTTTCTTCATCAAACTGCTGTAATGTAATGTTATTAATTTGGTAGTTGTGGCATGGGTGGATTGTTATGCTCCACATGCCCCTAATTTTGTGATACTGTCGAGTTGTGCACTACATTCAAAGGCTATAAGAATTTATTAAAACATTTTTAGTTTGATAAGGTATATACTGTAGCACACTGATGGGATATAAGAACAGGGTAGAGGAATGGTGCTGCCCAACCACTTAACACACTCGCTCATGTATTGTCTCTTAATTAATACAAATAAAACCAATTAGATAAAATATTTGAGGTTCATATAAGAGTCAATTATAATCATATGACTACAGTGTTAATTCTGCAAGTTCTTATTTGTACAATTGTGCATGTGTGTGTGTTTAACAGTGCTGATTATTAAAGGATAGTGCAATATCCTCAATATCTTTAAATTAGTGTTTGTGATAAATTGCATTAATATACAGGCACCACCAACCACTTTATTAAGAGACCTCTTCTGTGGCCCCTGTGGTTTGACTTTGCTTCCGTCTCTTCTGCCTGGGTGCATCATACCACTCAATAGCAGCGTCATTACTCATCGCACTCATCTTGCTCTGTAGATGACAAAAATAATAAGTAAACTTAATACTTTATACAGGTTTGCTGCAAAATATTTGTATTGCTCTACTTTTACATACCATTACAGTACAACCTTGATTCAACAAACTATATGGAACTAACCCAAATTTGTTGCAGTGAAGGATTAATTGCAACTGGAGATGCCTCCAAGAAGCATTTAACACATCTATTGGCCTGATTTCCCTTAGTGAAATTTTAATTTCAACCTATAGTATAATGGACAACTAACAAATGAACATGTCTGAAAAGAAAAGTTTATCTTTATCTAGTTTATCTTTTATGTTCCCAGGCTCAAAACTCATTTTCAAAGGGTAGCAGTGCCATCTGAGTAACCATATAACCTTGCCAACTAAAAATAAAAACAAATCATAGAATTTGGCTTTAAATATCCTCAATAGCTTTCCCAAGGCTCCAAATGTTTCTTGTAATATTGAGCCCATCGACAAAAATCATCAAAACCGTGACTGGAGCCATATTAAGAGTGTTACCATTCATACTCTAATATTTCCGATGATCTAAGAGTTTACTTCATTGACCAAAATTTTAATTTCAACCTGTCATCACAGCCCTTGTGGATTTGTTCATCAGTATTAGTCCTTTAATTATTATAATATGTTGCATTTTTAACAAAATAGTCAATTTCATAAAAAAATGTGATGTATTAGGTGAAAGAGCAGGTTGCAAAAAGAAAGCTCACTAGAGGCGAGGCAAGGTATCCAAGATCCAACCCTTTTTATACATCACTTTGGGCAATTCACTTGCTCTTTCTTCCTCTATGACTCCCCACATCTCCCTCAGTGTTTATAATGATGGCACCATATGTCCTTATTAATACTCAAAGCCATGACATGGTATTCCCCAGTCACCTCCATCCAAGTTCATTGAATAATGCTACATAAGACAGTAGTTTTATTGGGATCCCAGGCATACTGGTGTTGCCTACAATGGCATCACTGCTAAAGAAGCTGATTGTGCCTGTCCTATCTCCAAAAATCCAATTCCTAACTCAGAGTTATACTTTGTCATTCATAAGCAATCCACAACTGGGGAAATAGATGTTATTTATAACAAATAAGTTACATACTGCATTATCAAATGTGACCACAACATCCTAGCCTAACAGGCAGAACCGACGACTTGGGACCCAAACCTGCCAGTCATCGAAATAGGACAAGGCACAAAGATCAAAATCCACAGCTTCGAAATGAAGACTTTGGTCAATCTGGAGAATATCCTGGGAGCCAAGTTGAGTCCAAAGAGGAAAGACCAAAAGTTGAAAAAAAATATGACTGACCCTAAAAACCAACCAGTCCTTAAAATTTAAATGGACAGATATGCCAATACATGTCTTGGAGATCATGGAACATGAGACAGGAGTGGTTTAGGATCACCTGGTGAGCCATGAACATACCAGCCAATCAAAATGTTGGACACAAGATGTGAGAATTGATCCTTGACAAATCAAAGCTCATATGCCTCTTTGGGGAATTCCACATGGCAACTGTAGAGAAGGTACAAACTTGAGAAAAGTCTCCTCAATTATACTCCAGTCCAACATTCCCAAATATGAGGCCATAGTGGTGGAGTAGGGAGATTCCCCACACACTGAGGGATGCCTGTGGATGTAAAAACTACTGTATTGTTAGGATACATTTTGAGAGAACGCCCAAAAAAGCCCAAGTGTCCTCAGACTTAAAAAATCTGCACAATTTATTCTACCATGATATACAGAGGATTACCAAGATAAAACTGATAATGCAGAGATCTTCCAAGAATGGTCTGCCCCAGCCAAACAACTGGGGACCACAGATAAAGGAACACCATCCAAATAGAAAGCCAACACATAAGGTGTAGAAGCTGAAATGACAAATGACCACCCTCCAAAACCCATTCTGCATCCGCATCAGGGAAAAGGAGAGCAAAAAAAGGGAGTGGAGGGGGGGGGGGGGGGGGAAGGATGGAAGAATTCAAGAGCAAAACGGTCCAAGCAGACTTTCGGAACAGCCAAATCACAGCACACATGCAGGCATGGTGCCTGGTGAAGAAGTCTGCCAGTGCACTGCAAAGGATAAGCATGAACTTTGGCAACAAAGCAGCTGCAGTAAAAGCTGGTGAAAAGGCAAGCAAACATTGACTTCTATAACACAATCAACTCTGCAAATAGTAAGCTTCAAATTTAGCTACAAGTTGCTGCATAAATTGGGAAACCTACACACAGTGCTGCCAGGCATATCATGTCATAGGATGGGTGCATACATAGCCCAGTTGATGGAATTCAAATAATATTCAAATCCTTTAATAACACCAAGGACTGGAGTCACATCCTTCCAGTCCAGCACCAGAGACCTGAAACACAATCTTAACTTCCCCATAGAAAACAAGGAATTGCCTGCTAGTCAAGAGGAAGCAGGAAAACGTACAGTATAACAATCAGAAAGCAATCTTGAGCCAAACTGAAGGAAAGCCAAGTTTAGTTCTCAAGCATGAGTACCATTCTGCAACAGGAACTAGTAGTAGTTCTGTCAAGACTGAAAACCAGGAAGATAGGATTGAAGGAACTTGTGAAGAATTGTAATGTCAGGGCTCTTGACAGGCTCCATGAACTGAATGTGAGGACAACAGAATTCATCAGAGATCAAGGAAAAACTGGGTATTATCCTCTGCAGGCAATATCTCTGACCTGCCCAGGAGCCACCATTCCTAGAAGCTGACTAGAAGGAGTGCCACAGCAGAAGCTTGGGAAGAAAGCAAGATGAAACTGCCAGCTATCCATTTACATGACTGGTTCTGCCACCTGGTGATGGGTGGCAGTGGTGACCAGGCACTTAATATTTGGTAGTTAGGAGTAGCAGAGCAATAATTTGCAGTCTCTCTGCTTTAAAGTATTGTTTGCAGATGGTATTTAAATGTAAAGGAATGTACCTTTTGATAGTCATTCAGGGGTAATTGGGAATTCTCCAGTGTTACCTTCTCATCTTCAACGAGTTAAACATGAGAAAGTCACATTGACATCTACAATGTTGTCTACAATCTTGCTAATATGCTAATCTTGCTAATGCCATGCTAATATGTACCTTTTTATTCTTGAGAAAATCCGAGATAAGTTCAGTGCAGTTTAGAAACTCCTCTCTTTCCCACGTGTCATCTGCTGGCTCAAACCCACGCCACCTAACAAGGAACTCTCGACCGTGAACATTACGTCGAATTCCAACAATTTTCTCAACCTGCAACAATGTTCATTATATGTAATGAAAAATTTAGATTTTAAGCTATATTTTAAAGCTTATCTAAAGCATCTATTACAGAAAAGCCCATATCAATTACATGCCCAACGAATTTAGATACAATACTTATCAACTATCAGTACTACTGTACTGTCCTTTTATATGTTTGGTGTCATTTTTCCTTTAAGAAGGTAGCATTTAATGCTACCTGTTTAAAGTAAATATTGTTCTGTAAATTTTAAAGAATGCATGAAACATTTGCTGCTAATTTCTACCTGCTGATTAAGTTACCTTAAATTGATGTCGTCACCATTTATTACATTTAAAAACAATGTGTGAAATAAACACTATCAAATATGAAAACATGGTTCATTCTATAGTTTCCTAGTCTATACAGAAGTTGAAAGTTTTTAAATCTATTTGAAATACCTGGAGCATACCTGGAGAGGGTTTCAGGAATTCTTCTACTCCCCGAGCCAGACTGATTTCGGGAATTCTTCTACTCCCCGAGCCAGGTTTGGGGCCAGGCTCAACAAATATTCACAACACTAAAACAATTCAAAATCTTTGTTAATATTTTTTACATGTTTACTGGTTTGGCCATCGCACGAGGGCAACAACCACCATCCAAATGTACTGAAAAACAATAATGTAAGCAGTTCTTACAGATGATGCAGTGGAATGATACTAAAACAAGGGCATCATCAGGTTCCAAAAAGGGAGCAAGTACAACAAATAAAGCAGCGTTTAATGTAATGAAATGCCAATTTCTGGGCGAGCCCTGGTGACTGCATAGAGCTACAGTGCCAATCTAGTGCCAAACTACTAGTAGTTATCAATCGTGGAGTTCTTTTAGGCCTAACAGGGACTACAAGCTAGTCTGCCCCCCCCCCTCTAATGAGGTGCAGAGAGCAGTGGCACTATGATAAAACTGTCAATGAATTTCAATATGTGCCACCACCGGGAAAGCACCCACAAAGTGGGCAAAACAAAACAGACCACTACTGGTTATAAAAAGTATCAAGACTTCAAAATCGCTACAAGAACTTCCCCAAAATATAAACGATCGAAAACTCATGAAACTAGCATTAGCATGATCACCCACCTCCACCCCCTCATTTTGGGGAAGGAGGGAGGTAGACTGGGTCAGCCGGCTGTGCCAATTTCAGTTCGAAGATGATGGAAAAAAGGCCACCTCTGACTTCCTGGAAGAGAGGGTGGCAGGGAGCAACTAGGACTCACCCATAAATTGCCTTTTCATTACATTCAAAGCTGGTTTTCTGGGGAGAGCCCCTTGTGGCTCCAAGAAGCTACCTACTCACAGAGAACGAAAAGAAGGAGACTTACTAGGGATAAGGGAGCACCACAGGTATCACAATGAAAAAGAAAACAAGGGCTGCGGCACACAACCCAAAGCCACACGAGGTTGATAATGGGAAACAGACAAAATACCTGGCTGCCAGGACCCTGTTTGACCGCCAAACCCCCTTTCACTGTTCTGTCTTGTAGTTCATCTTGCCTTGAACCCATCATTTTAGAAAGCTTTTTAATTTTTAACATGAAAACCAAGTTGAACAGCTTGGAGTCATCAACTCCAATGTTTATACAGTTCCTTGTCATCTTTTCTTAAGTATGTGTCGAGTTGTTTTATTATTTTTGTTTGGTGTATATATTTGTCTTACAGTATTTGTATATGGGTTCCTTAAACTTTTTGATTAATTTTAGAGAAAATATACAATTGTGATATATATTTAATTGCTTTTAGCTAAATCAGGGATGTAAATACTCTCTTTTTAGCACTGCTAATAGATTTTGGCACTCCGAAACGTTTACATTTTCAATAAATTGGAGATGTACTGTACATCTTTTCTCTTATACTATTTTTAATAAGATTACAATAGGAATATGCAGCTTCTGTTATATCTAATCACTCCTAATTATATATATAATATCTCCAAATAATGCTTGAAGCTTTCCAGCAAGTCGAATTTAAATGTACTGTACAGTACTTGGTAACTTGCTCCGTACATCTATGTCACTATCTGTGAACCAATGTTACCATTTCTTTTCTAAATCTTAATTTATAAATTGTGAATCTACCGTTTCATGTTCTATTTTGGGTCATTGCTGTTTGCACACTTTTAGCCTTTCATTAATTTATATACTGTACAGGTACTTCAATTGTCCCGCTTTATGCTGCACCATTCTAGATAATGAAAACCAAGCTTTATTTGTCTCTTCCCAGTAATTAGTAAAGTTCTTAATGCCAAGAAACAACTTTAGTCATTCTTCTCTGTATCTCATCAAGAAAATTTATATTAATTCTAGAGCACAATGCCTGAGCACAAATTAATTAAACCAACTATGACACTTATCACGTGTCATAATTGGAGTAGTTGGATATTTTAAATTATCTGGATAGTATTTGGATGAGGTTTTGGGAGTTATTCTACTCCCCATGCCTGGCTTGGGGCTTTCAAAACAAAAAGCAAAGATTTTGATTCAACATTATGTAAACAAAGAGAAATATATTACATGTACCTTAAACAATTTGTATTTCCTATGTCTGTACAATACAAGAATATTAATATTACATACCACAAGCTCTCCACTGTCACTCCCATCACTATCCTTTCCTTCCAAATGACTGCCAGAATGAAGTCTTCCTTGTTCCCTCTTTGTTTCAATATCCATTTCCTCAGGATTCTCATTCTTATCATTAATTTTTATCGGTTTTTCAGATTTCTCTAGAGCGCTATCACTGCTACAACATTCTCCAGCCATGACTCTAGTATTAGACATGACAGAGTCTGGGTTCACAGTCCCTAAGCTATTTATATCGCAATCATCCTCTTCAGGGTCATCCAGCATCCTCTTTTTGGTTTCAATCCTCTCCTCTGTTACCCAGCACATATTCTCATTCGGGATGAAACTATTAACTTCTTTATCTAAAGTTCTCTTTTCAGGTTCGTCATTAAACTCTTCAGACATCTTTTCATCTTCAGTCATATCAAGTACACTTGATGATAACAAAGGAGATTTCATCTCTAAGGATTCCTCTGTTCGATACTCTGTTTGTACATTGGATGTTGAAGTATCAGCATAAGGCACCTTTGATGAAGTAATGTCTTTACACAATGGCATTTCCGATGATAATGCAGACTGTTCTGTAACTTTAGTTCTTCTCGCAGCTCGAATGTTCCGCCAAGTAGCAGAACGGTTCAAGCTGATGGCAGAGGCAGAGAGGTAACGTTCAATAGTTGAAGGAACCCTACGCTGGTCAAAATCTTGATCTATTCTTTGCACAACCTGTTGTCTGAAAGATAAGCAAAGGGCAATCTTAAAACAATGATGCACAATAACAAGTACAGTACTATATATCTATAAAATTATAGACTAAAGTCATTGAAATATTTCTCCAAAAGTACAAAGGCATGGCCACTTTCATTCTTCATTACGTGTCTATTTTATAATTCACTCATGGACATTAATAAAAATATCAACCATAACCATAATATATAACTAAATAATTAAAATTGCAGATGCCACTATAATACAGAAAATATTTAAAATATTTAGCTTCGTGGAGAAAAATACTATTAGCTTTAATAATTGTAATTTTTTTCTGAATATAGTAATTATAATAATAAACAAAATAATATGCTTACAACTGTACAGTACACAATGTAATACAAAAATCAATGTGTATAGAAGAGTAGTTTGAGAAGATAGGTCAGATATGATCACACCATTACCCCCTGGTGCCAAACAACTACTCAGGAGTTTGGCATGTAATAAAATCTCGGATGCATGATCTAACCTCATCTCTTCGTTGGTGGCAAACATGTCACCCTCACGATGATGATGACTGTGCGCTTCGTAGGCCCTCTTCGAGTAAAACAGAGCTGAACACAAGTTGCACTGCACCACTTCCCTGTTATTCAGTGGTCAATGCATCAGCAAAAATTTGATTTGATGACATTCCAAGGACACTAAAATCTAGAGTTATTGTTTGGTTTGCATAAAATGGAATAATATAACTATGATTTATGGTTACAATTTCAACTAAAGTTATCAAAGCTACAGTACCAATTTATCTATCTACATAGGCATAGCATCAATTCTCCAGCTCAAACATACTGTATAATAATCTACAATATTCAAATGTAGCATAAAAACTTGTTTATGTTGACAGTGCCAAATATTCTCAATAGTTTGGTTATTCAAAATCTGGAAACTCCAACAAGAAATTTGAAGGGTTAATAGTATTAAAAACTTATACCTAAAAATACACCAGTACTACAACACACAAATTCAAGCATTCTCATGCACTTAAAGTATGTAAAAACGACAACATTAGGAACTTACTCTGGCACAACATTACGCTCTTCTTCAGTATGCCGCGTCGATAGATGCTTCTGCAAGTTATATTTCACCTGGTACTCACAGCCACACAGATGACAGTAGTAAACACTATGCGCTTCTCCTGCATTATTTAATATAATCTTCAGGCTTGGACCTGGGGTCTTGATTGGATTAACCATGCAAATAGCACTGTAAAGACAAGAAGCTCCTTAGAAGGCTGCATTGTGCTTACTATTGTAGCTGCAGATCTTCATGCTTGCAACAACTCACACTTTACAAATTTAAAACAAAACATTAGAGATGGCAAATTAAATGTTATGTACTGTACTTTAAACCCCCCCCCTAATACTCTTGCTTCCTTAACTAAGTACAGTACTCTAAATATGGCAGTTCCCAAGGCATGTTCTAACACAAGGTAAGTGTACAAATGTAAATCTTCTTCCATATAATAGTGATAATGAGCCCCAATGACCCATTTCAGCCTTGGTCTTGCCACATTCTCAAACCAATTCCTCTTATACGCTTACTGTTAATTCTTTTTTCTTAAGTAGGAGAGAGTGGGGAAATAGGAGAGGGAAGGAAGGAGGAAAAGGGAGGAGAAGGGGGGGAAGGGAAGAGAGGGGGGGGGGAGAGAGAGAAGGAAGGAGAGAAGAGTTGGGAAAGTAATTCCATTCACTAAAAGCTGCAGCATACAAGTCAAACTTATTAGTCTGTGCATTAATAACTTTGATGCCTTTTTTCAAAAGGAACTGTTTCATCGAGATGTCGCCCCTTGTGAAATCCTCCTGGAGACAATCCAAGCACCTAAGTGCCTTCGTGTGTTAATAACTATATCAAAAATTTGTGAAACATTAGCCAAGGAATGCTACCCACTGTAAAATAGAGAAATTTTTACATGAAATAGGACAAATGTCTTTCAACACTTAAGGGTGCTGGGTGACATGTTGATTTTTAAAGCCAAAGAGACAAGTACAGTATACATTTAGTTTAAATAATAAAATATAGTGATGTAGGTCTAGCTGGAGCAAATCAAGGACTAAAAGACATATTGTACTGCAGTATGCATAAAGACAAGAAAAACAATAGTTCCTGGTAGAAGTGACATCCCCCATTGACTTTCCATACTGGCAAATAGAGACCAATAACACTGAATACTATAATTGTTATTAAATTGTTAACAATACAAGTATTACCCTTTATGTGCTGAGTCCATGTGGAACTTTCTTGCTCTTTGATTGTAGAATGCCACTCCACAAGTAAGGCAGGGAAACAGTTGCTTTGGAGCCGTGCCGGGGTGAGTCAGCAAGTGCTTATCCCGGTTTAACTGCAAAATGAACAATATACAAATATTTGCATGTCACAAATCCTTTAAAACTAAGTACATCTTTAAGTTTGAAGATTAAACAGAAAGTTAAAATAATTATTCAATATGTACTGTAATTCATTCATTGCATTATATTTGACAATGTGGGAATTGGATCATTCAGCAAATCAAGTGATGAAAAAAAAACAAGAGGTATGAATATAGTGTGCGGGGTTGCAAAGAAAAGTGTGTAAAAGAAAATATACCCAGTAATTAAATTTAAGTAATATTGGAAGAAATAAAAAGACAAAAGGCCTATATGCTTATTTTTCCAAGGAGATAACTTTTAACAATTTACATTCAATATACAGGTAGTATGTAAAAACAATTATAAATTATAAATTCCTTGCCCCCCACCCCTACACAAAATTATTCTATAGGTGCCATATATTTACAAACTAATGCTGAACAACCAGGTTCATTATGATCATGCTCATCAACTTATTTCAACTACTATGCAGTTCTTCAGATTAAGCTGAAAACAGATTGTGTTCAACTAGATTAATATAAAAGCAATCGCCTAATTGTGTACATTATAGAAAAAATTATGCCTTGCTCGTCAGTAATTAGACACTCGCAAAACTAGCCTGCTAAGATGTGAAGTACTGTACTACATATTACGTCTTTTAAATCTTATCTTTCCAAAGAGTATTACTGAATGCGTGTACAGTAACAGCAACTTTAATATATCTGTAGCAAAACAGTATGAATAATTTGCCTACCTTGATAGGGAACATCATACCACAGTGAGGACAGTAATGCTTGATGACAGACTCTGGGTGTTTGCGGAACTTGTGAGAAATTGCAAGAGATACAGTGCGGAAGATTTCCCCTGCCATAAAAATAAAAAATGAACAAGAGAAAGCAACAAAATTAGTAAAATCCTATACTACAAGAGAAAGCAACAAAATGAGTAAAATCCTGTACTACACAGGTTTTGTATATTCTAGTACAGCAGAAAATGGTAAATTCCTACTTGTACAGACTTTGTTTCTTGAGAAATCTAGATGCACTGTAAAAAACTCACTGGTTGCCTTTGGTTTTTCGCCAAAAAATAGAAAAGTCTGGTCAAGTGGAAATGTGTATTTGTGGCCAGGAGATACAAATATAAGAAATATAGACAAAAACTGTACAATGAATCAAGTGTTGGATATAATGAAATGTCCTTTTTCTAGTGGGCTTTAAGTAGCATTTGTACTGCCAAGCCTTGGCTAACTGCACCAGGCTTACAAGACCCACCCTTGCCAGCACAAGGATCTTGCTCACTCTGAGGAGAGGGAAGTTTTGGTTCAGAGATATTCCAAGCCCGAGGAAAATCTACCAGAAAGGATAAGCACAACAAAAGAAGTGACAGTGAGCTTAAGAGCTCCAAGAAAACAAGGCAAACAATCGTTGCTGTAAGGTAAGTATCCTATCCTTGATGCACCCAACTGCTACCAAATAATAGCCCAGGTCGCCCAGGTTCTCAATCAGCCTTCCATCTCATTCATTTGCCTGATGTCATTAGCTACATCCAACACTGCTGTACCCATCACCTGCTAAGCCATTGCCACTTTCCACTTCACCTGCTAAGCCATCTCCACTTTCAGCTAAGTGGTGCTGGCTTTCCCTGGAATATTTGCCCCATTAGGGGCCATGATGGTGACTGCTTGGATGCAAAATGGAGCACCTCTCATACCACTTTCAGGCACTTCAATTTGGACCTTAACCTGGTTCCCAGAAAATTATAACAGACTGACTTGCATTCTGACCTACCTCAACTGACTAGTTTGGACTCCGTCATCTGGCTTCTCAGCAGCCAGGGATCTGGTTCTTTCCCAGTTTATAATAAAAATATGAATGCTTGAAATGTGCAATGATGCAGGTATTACAACAAAAAAGCTTGCGAAACATTAAATGCTGCATGGGAAAGAGCCCAACATATTGCCAAGAATGCAGTAAACCCCACAATATTAAATAATGTTTTGTAAAAATTCATCTCCTAGCTACGATACAGTACTTTGAATAAATGTGCTATCCCGAGTACCAACAAATCGACGTTCTCCAACACTGCACAAATTTAGAGTTGCCTGTTCCCCTATGAGAATAAATATTGTTCAATGGAGGTCAAACTTTGGATCAATGGATATGGATTTCTCTTTTCATATATAAACAATTTAATATACAGCAGTAACAAATAAACAAAAAACAATGTTGAAAACATGGCAGGTGAAGTTTTGCACTGTACTGTATTTGTAATTAATATACACAAAATTGAAATGGAGAATATCCTTATAGGTTGCACTTCTGATAATATTCAATACTTTGGGAACACTTATGGTCTGGTACTGAGTTACTTGTGCTATTTTTCTCCCATAAAATAAATGCAAAATGTGTAATTTTTGTATAAACAAAAAAAACTTGTAGAATGAGCATTTTTCTAGTTAAAAATTTAATAAATGCAAAAAAGCATTAGGGATGAGGTGTGTGGTACAAATAATGTTATACAGTATTTTGCACCTATAATAATATTCCTTGGTGATTATACATATTCCCTGATATGCATTGGGATCACTTATGGTCCAATTTTTAGTCACTCTGTATATTTTTTCTGATAAAGAATGAAGATTTTAACTAAAAAAAAAATATAGGGCATTTTACAAGTACTGTACCAAATATTGTACAATACTCTATATGGAAAGAGCAGGATATTTTATTAGAAATACTGTACAGTATAATAAAAGTTACCCCCACCCCACTCAAAAGACCCTTTTAAGGAACAGGCCCAGTAAAATGTAAATATTGTACACATTTTGATAGTGAAAATATTATTTGAGCATTCATGTTTCCAACACTTACCACAAATATCACATACTGCAGTGTCTCCTTTTCTAATTCTGGTAGTACTACCTGATGCTCTTTCATTGACTTCATTTAAAGCCTTGTCATCATTCTTGACATTCAGCTTTTCCTGTGTAGTCTGTAGAAGTTTTGGCTGACCTTTGATATCAATTTCACCATTAGCATGACGCCTGAGAAAATTCCATAAATGTCTAATTTTTCGTGCAAATTCAGTTAATAAGCATTACTAATATTAGCAGAATATAAATGAAATTATTCATTTATATTCCTGTATATATATTTACTCCCCAAAGCCTATATTCACTCCCCAAAGTACTAGTATTGTAGAATACAGTATTTATATGCTGGATCAGTAATTAACAGTAGAAAATTAATCATATTAGAGGGTTATCATATATATCCTTTCATATCACAATTGAGGGTCCCAGTAGTACAGTCGGGTTCGTTCTTGACTCGCAATAAAAAATTCCAGGTTTGAATCCCAGGCAGACAGAAATGGTTGGACGTGTTTTCTATCACCCAATGTCCCTGTACGCCTAACAGTAAATAGGTACCCAGGAATTAGTCAGCTTGTTGTGGGGTTGCATCTTGGGAAGGATCTGAAATTCAACCTGGAGGGGGGGGGGAGGCGGGAGGACCGCGATACAAGCCTAACTTGTATAAACTGGCTGGCTGTCCCTCTGACACAATGAATTATTAAATACAGTAATTATATCATGCATATGTTAATTTGAAGTCAAATTATTTAATTTCAAATCCATTTTGCTCAAGATGGCACTTCGTCTCCTACCTTTCCTTCTGTTCTGGACATATCTTATATTAATACAAAATTAAAAAAAATAAAAACGTGTTATCCTACTGTAGAAAAATTCTAATTTTGAAGGGGCAAATATATATACCAACATTTAAAAGAAATTGTCTATAGTCTACAAGTTCAGTAGTATTTCAAGACTGCAAAAACCAGACAGAAATTAAGAATGATAGCCTTCAATTATGAAAGTCTTAATGATTATTTTCCAAATCTATAATATTCATCATTATTTGAGTTCATTTGATTTGATTTATTTATATACAAGAAGGTATAGTGGGTTACTTGATTACAGATTTTTGTAATTAAGCAATACCTTTCCTCAAAAGTATATAAAAAACAGGCATAGCAAATACAGTAATAAAAAATACAATATTCTGACCAAATAACTCAAAAAACCTACTAATAGATATTACCTAAAGTGGTTCTGCAGTTCAGCTTTTGAGAAGAACTGCTGGTTGCAGAACACACATTTGTGACAGCTGGAAGAACTTCCTAATGCAGACATATCTGAAACCTGCAAAACTGGAAAATGCAAATGGTTAACTTTTATTATATGTAAATTTGTTGTCGATTGCTTCATCATACAATACGTACTAAACTACATCACCAGTAAAGTACTAAAAACATCACCAGACAAGTTCCTACACCTGTTTCAATGCTTTAATTTATTTGAATATACATAAGAAAGAACATAAAATATAATGGGCTGTTAAAGTACAAATGCTAGACAAAATTGTACCAACACAGAATATACAGTACAACAGAATACTGTACTATATTTACCTTTCATCAGTACAGTATGTCATTTACTACATTTTCTTATAGCGGTATCTCAATACAAACTGCTGTAATTATTTTATATTAAACCAGAGTTACACATCAAGTCCAAAAATACTAATGATATAAATCGTCAACCACACTTCTGTGGAAATTAACATTCTATTCATCTGGGCTCTAGGAGATTTGAAACGAGTCAATAACGCTTCGGCCTCACGTGCATGGGGTCCATGGTTTGAGTCTCCAAGAGCCAAGGTGAATGGAATACTAATGATAGAATGTACCTGTATTTCTAATCTATTTTGTACATACAGTGTGTGCATGTATGTATTTGTCACACTTTTTAGACTGCACTCCAAACAAGTTGAACATCCTTTTTAATCAATTTTTGGGGCAATTTTTTCTTATGGATTGAGAGATACATTCAGTGCAATACTTATGATATACACTTCATGAACCAAAACGACATACCAATTTCATTGACTCTAGAAACAAAGCGTTTATTCATCAGTACAGTATTGCTGAGCTTAATACAGATTTGACTGATATTAAATATTAACATTAGTATTCATTCAAATACATCAATAATGATATTTATAAACAAACGTTCTCATGAAAATAGCAGAAAAAATAAGGCAGAACTCTACCTTACCAGACAACAGTAGTCTTGCCTAACTAGTTAGACAAAGTCAGAAGGTTCTGCCTAACAAGTTCAATATTATGGGTCCTACAGTACAATGATCTACATCTTCGACTAGCAAGCTAGTATCCCAGGTTCAATCCCCAGGCAGGACAAATTATTGGGCAAGATTCCTTTTACTTGGGTACCTTTCCGTTCAACTGATGCCTCAATTCACCTAGCAGGAAATAGGTACCTGGGAGTTAGGCATTTGTTGTGGACTGCACCCCCCCCCCCTGTGGGTAGATCAGTAATTGACCAAGTGGGACCTTGAAAAGCCTAAGAACAGCTTCCTGTTCTCAACAATGGATTTTTTTTTATCAGGTGAACCCAGTAGCAGGGGTCACCATCATGGGGGGGAAGGTCACCATGGGAGCCAGTAATCGCTTAATGGGAGCAATGGGGCCATTCAAACCCGAACTAGGTTTTTAACCAGACTGGCTGAGTGACACATCACACACTGCATCATGAAGAGGAGTTAGGTAAAGCTCATTTACCTTTGGTTAGGTTAAGAATAGGACTAACCCAGTTATGATAGGATACATAATGTTAGTATAATACTAACATGTACAAAATGACCCAAGTTGTCGACGTGCTGCCTTTAAATCCCCTCCAACATTAACACGGTCGGCAACTGTGTAATTGTCAGAAGTGAACTGGAAAATTAGAAACTTTCCCTGTAATCACTATACGACAACCATCGCATAATGTTCACTGTACCAGGTAGATGTTAGGTAATGATTCAATTACAATTTCCCTAATGTTGTTGTCCCAGTGAATGTATAGCATGCACATTGAATTGTCAGTGGAAAAAATGACCTGACAGCTTGACTGACAACTGTCAATAATGTGCACGCTTTCTAATCGACTTAGATAACATAATTTAACTACTAATGACCGACAAGAAAAATAAACTTGGAGATGGTGTCACCAATAACAGAGAGGATAACCTTCAACCTTGGCACTCTACAACCCCAACAGCCTAACCACTTCCTCTCGCTTTACTATCCTCACCCCCCCCCCCCCAAATAGAAATTAAAAATTAACGAGGGCCAAGTTCCACTGTTGGAACTGAACACACACACACCGATAGTACTTCACCCCTAAACGTCAAAGGGGACCCCCCAAGTGCCTCGAGTGCCACGCCTGTGATGCAGCCTCACGTCACATGGACACCGTCCATACTGAGATCGAGGCATCCTCAACCACTCGAACTGAGCGCCATCTGTTGGTCGTCACGTGTAAACATTGTCTCTTCGCCTCGCTCCTCGCCGCCGCTTTCAAATAATAGATCAGATTTTTCAGATTTTTTTATTTAGGACAGGTAGATACATTTCAGATGAGTTACAAACATAATGTTGGATTGAAAGAAAAAGCTAGTACATACACTACCTAAAGCCACTAGTACGCGTAGCGTTTCGGGCAATAATTCCCGTTGTCGAGGACTGGAAACCTTGGGTGATGCCTAGGATCATCCTGGATGGGTGTTCATCGGGAGGATAAACCCTTCCTGCAAACTGCACCTACTATTAAGAAGAAGAGGAAGGAAACCTGGGGGGTTGCCTTACGTCAACTACAGACCGGGAGTTAAGGCAACTCACAACAATTTGCCTAACTCATGGGTACTTATTTTATTGCTAAGTGAACAGAGGCATCAGATGAAAGGAAACGCATCCTTGCACATGCGAGTTTAGATTGATTGGTCTGTATGCTGCACTTCTGCCTTTCTTGAAGAAAGCGATGAAGTTTGCATATTTTCAATCTTGTAAGGAACTTTCCTTGGTCTAGTATTCTGTAGGTATTGTCTGATTATATAGAAACTTTAGCGATAGATATACAACTTCACACTTCATACAGCGTGAGATGCAGTAAAAAACTACCAAACTGTAGTTTTTGACATTCCTTTTGTCCCTCCAGTTGGACTGCTAGGTAGAGCGACGACCTTGATTCTTGCTGGGTTGGCGTCCAATCCCCCGATGGTCCAATCCCCAATCGTCCTCTTTGGTTCGGCACCGTTCTTTCACACACTCTTCATTTCCCAGTTCCTTGTTATTATATCCCTCCCCAGTGCTATATATCATATAGTGCAGGCTTAGTGCTCTCTCCTGATAATTCCTAATAATTCTCCTAATAATTCTAATATTCTTCCTAATAACTCTCTCCTAATAATTCTATCTGTCAGAAAATTTTTCATCCATGTTAGAAGCTTACCTGTCACCCCTCCAATATTTTCCAGTTTCCAGAACAACCTCTTATGTTCTTGGTGAATCGGATACTTTTGATATCATTCGCCTTATGCGTTTTTGTTCTCGGATTGGCAGCCTTGGTGATATTTAGCGCCCTCTGATTACTCCGTACAATTTGGTGGTGTTACATAGCCTTCCCGGTTTGGTGTCTTCCTTTGATAATTACTTACTACTCTTTAATATACAAACCTTATTCTATATGTGACCTATTAACTCTACATCAAAGATGTTGTATCCTAAACAGCACTGCAGCCTGAGGCTGGCTGTTAATGGAGTTAAAATCTGAAGCAGAGAGAAGGAACATTAACCATGAATATTGAGGACTTCAAGGTCTGTTGGTGGCATACATTTTATTAGATGGCATAACAGCAAAAAACTGCATTTTCTATCTCTTTTATCAAGATTAGTCTGTGCTTCAAAATGGTAAGTGAACAAATTAATTATTTGTATTTATTTGTGCATTATTATTTATAGACACAAAATTATCATTTATAAAATAGAATGAATGTGTCTATAGTATTGTCATAGACCGGTCTAGATCACCAATAGTGCCCCCAGATTAAAATGGATGAAGTCCTATTCCGAGATCTGAAACTGAGGATTCGTTTTTCTTAGTTTTTCAACAGTTTGAAACTGATCATAACATCCCAACTTACAACATAACCATGACTTTTAAACCAAGTGGTTACATTGTTGCATCAAATAACAATTGTAAAAACATTGTGGTTACAGTGTGTTTATATGGTTTGGAGAGGGAGGGGGTGGAGACGAGTGGTAGAAGAAGGGGGTAAGTAAGTAATTATCAAAGAAGACACCATGCCAGGAAGGCTACGTAGCACCATTAAATGTGCGGGATAATCAGAGGGCGCTGAATATTACTGAGAATGCCAATATCAGAACAAAAACGCATAAGGCGAAAGATATTAAAAGTATCCTATTCACCTAGAATTCTATCAAGGGATAAGTGACCGCGGGAGAGGGTCGGAAAGCAAGACACGCGCTCGTCCTGGAAGTCAGGACATTCAACAAGGATATGCACAACTGTAAGAGGGACAATGCAGTTAAGACAATAAGGAGCAGAACGGCGCTCCATGAAGTGTCCATGAGTTAAGCACGTATGGCCAATACACAACCTTGCCAGAGCTGTTTCCCACTGCCGGTTACGGTGGTAGGAAGGTCACAGGGACACACTACTCTTTAAAAATATGCAGTTTGTTACCAGTAACAGAAGACCAACAACCCTGCCAACGGGCAATGATGGAGGAATTAATAACTGGATAAAAGTCGGAATAAGGAATACCTTTACGGGAGATGGGACAAGTGTGGATAGCTTCCCTAGCGGCAGCGTCCGCACGCTCATTTAAAGAGACACCAATATGACTGGGAACTCCACGGGAGACATCTCCCGTCGCAGGGTGCAGTCGCACCTGCACAGATCTCCAGTATCATCTATTGACACTGGTGATGGCTCAAAAGGGCCACCACTTACGAGCTATTCATGCCCGTGCCTCCTTTTGGGTGGCTTCATCTTCTTCATTCACTGGGAACCCTCAGGGTGCATTAGCACCTCCACAAATCTCCAGTATCAGCTCTTGATACTGGTAATGGCTTAAAAGGGCCACCACTTACGGGCTATTCATGCCCGTGCCACCTTTTGGGTGGCTTAATCTTCATCAATCATCAATCACTGGGAACCCAGCAAAACTCAACTGTCTTAAATCTACTAGATATAAGAAACAGCCAATGTTGAATTTCGACTACCCCCGGATGGAAAAAGGGGGGGGTTATAAAAAAAAAAAAAAAAAAAAAAAAAAAAAGAGGTTGGGATGAAAAGAAGGGGATGATGGGGAAGAGGGGGATGAGGGAAAGAGTGAGAGAAGGGGGAGAAGAGAACAGGGGGGAAATATGGGAGAGTAAGAGTACGGGGTTTGACATCTCGACAAAATGAAAGGACATCAGTCAAATGACTTAGCAATGTTAAAAGTTCTTCAGTTGTTACTGCTTGGGGTCTGGTATAAGTAACTAGGGAAAATACAGACTGACCCCAACTATCAGTGATTGATGTATCATGACATGCCTAAAGCTGTCTTCAACAAAACCAGGAAGGACAGAGGATATTTGAAACGAATTCATACAAATGATTTTTGTAGCTTTTTCAACCATAAATGACAGCCTTTCAGAGAAAGCCATATCAAAATGTTTGTTCAAAGAGTGAGTGGGTATGTTGAGATGTCCTAAATGATGGGATTATTCTTTCCTTTTCTCAATACAGTATTCAATACAAGTGCCTTCCTCACCAAAGGGGGGATTTTGGGTTGAGGAAAGCCTAGAGATTGGGAGGATCCAGGTCAATTAACCAACAAGATTCAACAGTGTCTGTACTATGAAATCCACCAGTTTGTTGGCTTGGGGGTCAGGCATTTACTCTCTCGAGACCAAAGGTTCATGGTCACCCAACACACAAGCGTTGATTGATAAAGAATTAAACAGTAGCATACAATTAGTCAGGAGTCGCTTAATAAATCACATTTGACTGCCCTACAGGCTAACATAATAGGCTATCTAGTACTGCGTCCTCGGTTCCTGTCCGGAAGCGGAGCTGCTCCAAGAAATCCATAATCTTTAAATCCTATTGAATTATTAATGTATATCTTGTAACCTGTAAGTATCTAATAAAGCACAACAAAAGACAAAAGGAATGGGGTGGTAGATGAAAAGCACACAAACTGTATTGGACGGGACCTAAACATTCCCTCTAATGCATTGCGAGAGATTTCCTGAGGCTAAGGGTCCCCTTCTTCCAGAGAAAAAAAATATAAAATTATGTCTCAACTAGATTTTAACAATATAATTACATTGGTGAACTTAAAAGCCAAGCACCCTACTTACTTTATCTCTTCACATGCAAGATACACGCTTATAGTCAAAATGTACCTTTAGAATTTTGGCCTGGCCTAACATTAATTATTCTGCAATATACTAGCAGTATTGGGAAAAGTTATGTCGAAGACCTATTTTACCTGTGTTCACTTATGAGAAGCACTGGCCCCAAGTTGTTTATGCTTATTATGCACAGTTTATAAAATAAGTATTCACAGAAGGCAATGCACGAGATAAAGGATATAGATACAATTATGACCAAAGAGCACTTTATTGACTTTTCCCTGTGTAGCATGGGAGGGAAGGTGACAAGCGACAGGGAGGGGAAGTGGTTGTGTGGCCAAGTCATGACTACCTGCCTTGGCACACAACTGCCCAAGCCACACACCACAGTATCACATTGTGCAGCCACCAACCCTCATACCACCTGCCCGCTGTAACTTCATTCACCGGGCTTAAGACAGGTCTCTTCAGTGGCAGTCCTAAACCATTTGTTGCCTAACCTTTAATAATATAAAATATATATATATTTATATATATATGTAACAATGGTTCAGGGGACATGTAATAATGAGGAGAGGTGGCTAGATTATGAAAAATGAATAACACATGTCTCAACTGTGAAATGATAAATACAAAGCACACAGGCAAAAATTAGGATACTTTCAGCTATGCAGTTTTTATTAAATTTAATTAAGGAGACTAGTTCTGCAGCAAATCAGATCATTAAGTAGAAAGTGATCCAAGTTCAAATATATATTAACCCATGGCTGACCTATCAAACAGTTATTACTTAATGGAAGACAGTGTTCATAAATATAATGAGGTGTAGAAATGATCCATATACTCATACATATATATACATACATATATATATATACATGTCATACCTAATGGCCAGATCCGTACTACTAAGCTTAATAGTCCAGTTGCGTTTTGCTAAATGTGTGTGTACAGATTTGTGAAGAATCTTATCAAAATTATATTTAAAATAAATGAATACAGTATATTAAATTGGTACTATTAATTACTAATTTTAGGCCAAGTTCTTTTTGTATATTAAGCAGGGTTTTGGAATAATACGCATACAGCACATTATTTTAGCAAGGTCCTGATGCCAAATTAGTTTGGCTCAAAAAAAAAAAAAAAAAAAAAAAAAAAAAAAAAAAAAAAAAAAAAAAAAAAAAAAAAAAAAAAAAAAAAAAAAAAAAAAAAAAAAAAAATTATCGAAGAAAATTTGTCTTGTTAGGCAACTCTGGCTATTAGTTATGACATTTTAATATATATACACATTATATACACACATACATACATAAGTACAATATGCAAGAAAAAAAAGAGCATATTATAATTGACATATAAACAATATAATGTATGAAAATGTCAAGATTAAAAATTATGAAAATGAGATGAAGCTTTATATGATGAATCAAAGCATGGTGCAGCATGTGGCTTGGGGGGTTTCTGGTGACTAGAGAAGACTTGGATACCCCTCTGTTCCAAGTTCTCTCTTCTACAGCACTTATATGTCTGTTTTGTTTATTATATCACACTTGCAAGTCTTTATGTCTGATTTGTAGTCACCTGCTAAGGGCATGCTGGATATATTCTGCTCAGTCATAACTGGAATGCAGTAACCTTTCTTAACCTCGGTAACTTCTATCACACATTGATATCCAACGCTAATATCCTTGTCTGAATACGAGATCTTGACAATCTTTGGAAACAAAGAATAATCATTTCTTCACAGCACATTTCATAGTATCAAATATTAACACTGTGTAGCCTATCTGTTAATATTCTTTAAAATATCAATTATTTTAAAAACAATATAGGTTATGGGGTTTATCAAGCACTGACAGCAAAATATTTGCAATGGGTTATTGTCTTTGGCCACTACGAAAACAACATATGCATGGGTAGCCTCTTTGTTAAGGGGTACTACCCGTACTTTGATCACTCAATACTAAACTCTGTAGGATGTGACATTGTCACTTTGAAACAACTTGCCTTTGCTAGTCCTGAAACTATTTTGTACCACAGAGTAAAAAATGATGCTCCACTTCTCTCCTACCAGACTTCATTCAGCTAACATTGCATATATATTTTCTTAATATAATAACTTAAATCTGTCTGACTGCATTGTATAGTCACTGGAAGAAGTCTGGTAGAAGCTGTAGAGGGGGGCAAAAATGGCCTTCAGCCATGAAACACCATGTGTAGAGGTGAAACAGACCATGCCCAATGTTTTACACAAGTTCTGCAAATTAAAGCCATCACATATATTTTGCAGAATGCATATCATACATTATCCATGACATTTCTGGCAACAGTCACTGGTTTCCTGAGAAAAGGTCCACTCAAAATATACAACTCAATTTTCACTGGCAATCAGGCAATCACTGAATTGCATTACTGCCCTTCTATTGCCTTAGCTAATCACCGATTCACTAGGTTAGCTTTAGCTCGGTTTGTAAAACCAAGTTTAAGTTATCCACCAATCAGGTAAGTTTCATGTTCCTTGCTAACTTTTTGACTGTCACTAGCTGTTCATTAGGGCTGGGTATTTAAGAGGTGTGTTGAGCAGGTCATTGTGCATTAGGAGGGAGTTCTCGGAGTAGTGAAGAACTAAATCTCGCAGTGTTGGGTATATCAAAAATGGTTCTGCAAATCCATACCCATGTCCTCCTTCATATATCCTACAGTGTTGCACTTCTTTGCTGCACCTGTAATAGATATTTGCAATTAACAAAAAAAGTTGGAAATAATACATCATATATACTTTATACTTAAAACAAGAAATTTAAAAAAGAATTGACAAAATCTTTGTTGACCTCTAAACAATGCCAAATGTACAGTAATTGTCAGTACAAAGAAATGTGAATATACTCTTATTTATAGAGAAAATTATCAGAAATTACAATTAGCCAAGTTTTATTGGCATACATGAGAACATTGCAGAAAGTTAATGCAAACAGCTAATTAATGGAGGTGGTGGGGAGACAATGCTTAATGAAAAGTGTGAAAAAGTGTATGGAGAAGTGCTAAAAGTAGTCAATTTAAATACATGGAGTTTATAACAAGAATAATTTGTGCAGGTGTGTAAAGTGAAGGGAAGAAAGCAGCTGTCACAATGACAGCCTGGTGAGGAATAATGAAACAAGAGGAGATTTGGCTATACATCAGAATTAATATAATCAAGAGAAATAGACTGGAAAGATTGCATTTACAAATGTGAAAGACTGATGTTGCACAAGCATGAAAATTTAAAAGTTAAAGCAAGAGAAAAGGAAATTCTCAGATGCAATTGTTGTGTTAAAAGGATAGATAAGAGTAAGGATTTAAAATGTCAAAGAAACAAAGTACAAAAGTCAAGATTATAACAAGATTAAAGTTTTCTAGAAGGTTTGATTATACAAAACTGAACAAATGAATAATATATGATAAGTGTATAATACATGAGCAAATTTGAAAGAACAGAAGTCGAAGATAGACTAAACACATTGAGAGGAGTGTGGGGAAGCAGTGATCAAGCATTAGCAAGGCATGAGAAGTGGTAGTGAAAAATGTTAGATAGGGTAAGTTTTTTAATTTAGAGTAAATATTTGATTCACAGAAAGCATTTAACAACTATAGTTGCATGAAACAGTAGGGTACTGCTGACTATCGATTCAGTACCAAACGTGCAAGATGTCATGACTGGATGGTGTGTCACTGAGTACAGTACCAAAAATTTTTCTGCAAAATTGCTCTATTTATTCTAGGCTACTGCACTTTCCATCCCACAAAAGTGGAAAATGGGGTAATAATAATTTGTAAGGGATGGGAATAGAGGGAAAGAAAAAAGGCATAAAGAGAAATTTGAGAATTAGTGAATGATTGGGGGGAGGGAGCAAAATTAGAAGAGGGTGAGAAGATGTGGATGGGGGACAGAAAAATGGAAGATGAAAAACAAATGGACATACAGTACTGGAAAATATAGATGTAAATATGAGGCTGAGAATGAGACAGTCGAGGGGTAATACTTACGCAATTGACAAAGCATATCCTCCATTTTGTGCCATTCTTATGAGGAAAGTGCCATCAGGTTTGTTGTGTAGCAAATTAACAGCTCTTTCTCTTGAGCAAGCATCATCATGCCATAGAGACTCGTTGTTTAGCTCCGGACACTAGAAGGATATAAATATTCATGATGTACATTGTGAACATCAAAATATACTAATTTAGTCCTTCCCTGTTGAAATAAAACTACTCTTCCCCACTACTATAATTTGTAATAACCACAAACACTATCACAGTCCATAGAAATTCATTATTATAGCATATAATCCTCATTCAGGATGAAATAATGAAAATCAGAATTGCAAGGTATGAATACTGTACATCACATATATGACATTCTTATTATCCACAACATAAAAAAACACTTGATACAGTACATGCATAAAAAACAAACATACCGGCTGTGTAGTTTGGGATGGATCCGTCTGGTCAAGCCACTGATCCATCATATCAGCAGAAAGTCCCCGTGAGAGTAACAAATTCTTGAGATGGTCCATTTGTTTTGCTAATTTCATGACTTCCAATTTGAAAGATGTTGCCTGGCGTTCCACACTTAAACTCTCTCTCTTCAGAGCCGAAAAGTGATTTTCTTGTTGACTGTGAGCTTCTCTAACCATTTCCAGTCGTCCCAGCAGTACTTGTTGGTTGGTTAACAAGCTAGGATAAAAAAAATCGGAACATAAAAATTTACATTGATAATGCAATTTTCCTAAACAAAGATTTTATTGCAATAAACTTAACTGAATGCTGAGTTAGGTCTGAGGGTCAAGCAGAGTGCTACATGTTCAAGCATTTGAACATGTAGCACTTTAAGCAAGCAAGAGCAATTTACACAGTTTAATACTTTACAAAATATCACTTACTCGTGCACTTCATGGGGCTGGGCTTCAATTTTGAATTTTTCATGGAGCTTGAGGTGGTCATCAATCCATAACATCGTTTCTGCATAACCATCCAGTGCTTGTCGACTCAACTGAATATCTTGAGCTAGTGCCTGCTGTTTTTCATAGCTGTTATTATATTGAGCAGTTTTGGCTAGGTACTGCTTATTTAGGTCATTCAAACGACCCAGAATGTCCTCAACTCGCATTCTTGCACTCTCGGATTCTTCTCCATGGAAACGACTCACTGGGTGAAGCAACCTGATGTCTAGTGCTTTATTAAACTGTATAAGACTTTGTTGGCAGCAATAGTTTACCAATTCTACTACAGAGTTGAAGGTGAATGGTTCTGTGAAGCCATACTTTCCACTGCGGTGACATATTTTTATTAATTTATTTGAACCTCCCTTGCGCAGTGTAAGCGTGTATTCATTATTTCCTGTTGATGCATCTCTGACTAAGAAAGTTCCATCTTTAGTGTCTTTCATCAGAACATTGACATCTTCCCTTGATATGGTACCCCAATACCATTCAGCTTCTTGAAGTGCCTTTGGTGCACTAGCTGGGATGTTTGAGTAATAGGAAAGTGTGCCACTACCAACTGCTGAAGGAGGAAGTCCAGAAGCAGTAGCAGGAGATCGTGGGCTAGCTTCCTCCATAAACCCAGGATTTGTAGTCGTGGATGGACGTGGCCTTGGTGGTAAAGCTGGAGCTGGTGCAAAAGTGGGAACCTTTTCTCCCCAATCTACCTTTGTCAAAAGCATCTCTACAATCCGCATGTGTGCTTCAGTGTTCCGTGCTAGTTCCCTATAAAAAAGTAAAAAATATTTTTAAGTTATATTACTAGTATTAACAAATTCATGATCTCAAAATTTAAAATGCAAAAAATGCAACTGGGAATGAACAAATAAATTAATAACAAAATACTTACACAATTTTTTCCCATGGTGGTCTTAGGAGGACATGACAAAGAGATTGAATGAGTAGAGTTGGTGGATCTAAGATGCCCCTTCCAACTTGGAGTTGACATAGTTGCAAGAAGTGGCTCATCAAGAACCTAAGAAGAACAAAATACATATATTATCAAACCCAAGTTCAGTATACAAAACTAAACATAAAAACAAGTAAATAATGCAGTGTGTTCTCAAATTAATGCACACTTTTCACATACGACTGGAAAGTGGTGGTACAGCCATACAAGACATTAAAATGAATTAATGAAAGTACAACATGGCTACCAGTCTGGTTAAACTAATACTTCATAAATAAAAACTGCCAGAATTTTTCTTGTCTCACTATCACCTCTCCTCCATTTTTTTCCCCGAATAAGCACCATATTAGATTTGACAGAAGCCCTTATAGAGAAGAGCGCTCTGGTTTCCCTTAAAAACGCTTTCGCCCTTATAGACAAAATATCCTTTGCAAAAAATTAAATTCATCTAATAATTTTCAATATATAACATAACTGCATCTTGGGAATACTAATAAACTTATAAACTTACTGCAAAGTATAAAAATGATGAGAATTAAGTTCCTTGACCATCTGTGCCATACATTTAGCACACTGATCATCATTATGGATACGAGTAGCTTCAATAAAGCGATCATAAAAAGTTTCAGGAATCACTGGTTCAGGGAGCTCTCGGAGATATCTCTTAATCAGGTACGCAATAACATGGGGTTCGTATGCACTAAGGTCAACATTGCACATGTCTGAAATTAAAAACATGATTAGTGGTTTGCAATTTTATAGTTATATAAAAAAATGCATGTACCGCATACACAAAACTGCACTTTTAATTATATATATTGCATACTACTTACAACTTAAGTAGCTATAGTATTCAATGAAAGTGAATTCAATATTGGTATTGTATTTGAAATTTTCAAGCACCTTTAGAATATAAATGTATATAATTTTCTGAAAATCCCAAAACACTAACCATCATCACAGTCCTGTCTCAACTGAGCTAGAGTTTCCTGTTGGGGTGGTGTGCGATATAGGCGGTACGGATCCAAGTTAGGATCACTCTTGGCACGGAACACAATTTCTTGACAGCATCGCACAAGCAGGAGAGGTGCAGGGCTATCACCAGGAGTGAACTGTGTGCACAAGCTCAATCCAAATACAGAGGAGAGTAATATGCGACGAAAATACTTGGACGATTGTTTAACACAGGGAGGCAAACCAGTGGCAGCACATGTGCGATGAGCGATCAGTCCACAGTCTGGAAAGTTATGTAATTATGAAAATAAGGTATCCATAAATAGGTATGTTTTGATCATATCAGATCAAAATACCTGGTTCCTATGTCTGGTAAGTCTCAATACATGTGGTATATGAATATGAGTCACTACTGTCAAAGATAAACAACTGGGTTTATGAATCTTACATACACAGTAAAGACATATTGAAACAGTGAATCAATGCAAAACTGCTTACAAGTATATAAATACCTGCATGTGTTACTTGTGTCAATTTTTTGTTGAATTAGTTTTTAATTTTCCTTTATGATCACATTTAAAATCATATGAATATTTAATGGTCCACTACATGAAAAGGTAGACCTAACCACACCACAAAAATTAGAGAAACACTGTTCTGTACAGTATACAGTGCAGCTAGGCATAGTATTTTATTTCATTTAACATACTATAACACCTGTATTGTATCTCACCTTGACAAAACTGTCCTTGATGAATAAAACCTCGGAGATATAATCCACACTTGTCGCAGCGGTGGAGGTCATGGAAGGAGTGGTTACGAAGGTTATGATGAGATGCCGGAGTGCTGCAGTCTGCTCCTCCAATACCAGAAGAAGGTTTACTGTCTATATCACGACACTCATTTTGTAGTTGATCAATGCATACCAAGATAGCTTTTTGGTGGAACTCGTCTTTGATGCCCATATTCTGGAAAACAAAAAGTTCTTATGTTAATGCTATAAAGTAATGTAATTAATTATGTACCAATGAGTGAATAATAATTAATGTTGATTTTTGTAGATTATCAGTGTTTTTTAGTTTTAATCATAATGCTATAAAATAAATGGTATTCCAATTTATTTTTCATTTTTTCTGGAAAATGGGCTATATTGTAAAATGAAGACTACTTTATTAGAAGCAACTTGAAATCCATCTGAATGACGAATCCTTACTTAATTTATTACCTTAAAGGTTGTGGATGTGTTATACACAAGAATATGGGGCACTGATATTGCACTCATTTTACAAATATCCAGTTATGTAATGCCCCATAGCCCTCAATCCACAAATATGTTAAGTTTTGCATATATTTCAATATGGTCCCCCCCTTCTCAAACTGTGTGGAATATTAAGAATGTGTATAAATTTTATATGTTAATGTTAACCAATCATTAAATACAAGCATAGCTTTTGCAACAAATCCACATAAAATGTTGAACTTATTTCTAACAAAACCGTATTGAAATTTGTGGCCGACTTATGACCATTGCCCAGCTAAACAATGAAAGTCAAAACCTACTTTCACAGTGCAACAGCAGTATAAACAAAAAGGTACAGCTTGGTAGTGCACACAAGTTACCTGAGCTTGATTAGTAGCTGTGTCACTGATCCCAAAGTCACAAGATTTAAGTTGTGCCATGTTGGGACCATCACTTTTATGACTTGGTGAACTTGCATACAACACTGAGCTGTTTGTAGAATGCCATTGCTGATAAGATGGTTGTACAATTTGTATCTTAACATTTTCAGGTACTACTCTGGGCCATCCAGGATTGAGAGTTGGGGAAAGACAATCTGGAGCATCTAAATCTGACAATTTTAGGCACAAAGATTCCCCATCACTGGAGCAAATACTAGATGAAATCTCACTAGGTAAGTAAGTAGTGGTGGTATCTGCAGAACCCATGATGCTTGATGCAGATGAAGCAGTTGATGTACGTCGTGTGCCACTGTCATTACATGGTTGATGAAACTGGGAACTGCCAGGTCTGTGGCTCATATCAGGATTAGGACTTGCAATTTTAGGATTTTGCAGTTTGGGGCTTGTATTGTTAAAGTCATCTTTGTGCTTAAATTTGTGTGACAGTAATGCCGCACGTATTGCCTGCAGTTTTGGACATGGATGAGGAGAACTACTTATGATTGGAATAGGACTGCTGACCCTTACTTGTCCTCTTGGGCGAGAACATGCAGAAACTTTCTGAGGTGTGTCTTCTACATATATTCCACTGTCAGGCGTTTTAAAAGCAAAGCAGCAAGATGGTTTGGGAGTGGAGTATAAATCTTCACGGTCCAACATTTGGTCATTGGGTGGTTTAAAGTAATGGTGGTTATCCAAATGATGAGATGGAGCAGATGTGCTACACACCTCGGCTGGCTCGACACCTTCCTCACGTTGGCATTTGCGCGAGGACCATCCTCTGAGCTTCGACAAGACAGCGATGGGAGACTTAAAAGGCATCAACAAAGGATACATACCTCCTACTAATAAACAGGAAAATATAACTATACAGAACAATAAAACTGTCCAAAACCAGATTCACATGCACTTACAGTGCATAAAATATAAGAAAATATATTCAAATATGACAAGCATACTGAATATATGCATGTTTTGAAAACTGCAATAAAAACAAAGAAAATATTTAAACGAGTTTAACACTGAGGAACAAAACTGAAAAAGACTAGAGTATATCACAGTCGAGTATGGGCAGCAGTGTGTTTGATGACCATGGAAACAGCTGTCAAGAAATCCTATCAAACAGTCAGCAACTATAATACCCCCCGCCTGCACTTGTCACCGCCACAATTACCTCCTTACACCACTACATATGCAAGTTAAAGATATAAATAAAACCAATCAACCAATAAAAACTAAAGTAAACGATTACAAACAAAATTGAAAAAGGTTAAGACAGTATCACAGTCGAGTATGGACAAAGCCACTTGAAAAGTGGAGGACCCAACTACCAAGGAAACCAGGAGCCATAATATCCAACACGGCTAAGCGTTAAGTAATCCAGGAGCCATAATATCCACCGCTTCACTTATCACCTGTCAGCGCCACACTGACCCTCTGACCACCACTTACCATTGACCCCCCCCACCCCTCGCGCACCCACCCGTCTCACCACGAACCACTAACAGCCTTGTTTACATTAACCCTCCTCTCAATATCAGTACTTTCAATTTCGCGTATTTACATTTATAAGCCTGCGAAACAGGGTGTTCCATTCATACTGTCAAGTTACTTGTTTTCTTGTCACACTAGTGTTACTAAAATGACACACTCACCCCAAGTTTATCACGGTCCAAGGTGAGAAGATCTATTCCTTTGATATCTTTTGCTTTGAATAATTCTGTGTACGGTGCCAAGTTGAGTGTTGCCATCCAGTCCACCACATTACTAGAAGACCATTGGCTGATCGGCTGTGTGGAGAGAAAATAAGGATGAGCGATTTGAATAATTGTAAAAATCAGGTAAAACTTGATATACAGTACTATATATATATATATATATATATATATATATATATATATATATATATATATATATATATATATATATATATATATATATATATATGTCGTACCTAGTAGCCAGAACGCACTTCTCAGCCTACTATGCAAGGCCCGATTTGCCTAATAAGCCAAGTTTTCATGAATTAATGTTTTTTCGACTACCTAACCTACCTAACCTAACCTAACCTTACTTTTTCGGCTACCTAACCTAACCAAACCTATAAAGATAGGTTAGGTTAGGTTAGGTAGGGTTGGTTAGGTTCGGTCATATATCTACGTTAATTTTAACTCCAATAAAAAAAATTGACCTCATTCATAATGAAATGGGTAGCTTTATCATTTCATAAGAAAAAAATTAGAGAAAATATATTAATTCAGGAAAACTTGGCTTATTAGGCAAATCGGGCTTTGCATAGTAGGCTGAGAAGTGCGTTCTGGCTACTAGGTACGACATATATATATATATATATATATATATATATATATATATATATATATATATATATATATATATATATATATATATATATATATATATATATATATATATATATATATATATATATAATCTTGGTCACAATACATACATCACGAAATGGTCTTTAAAAAACATTTGAAAACACTGATGGTGGGAAAGGGGGTTCGGAGGTCTGATGTACTCGCCTAGTAGTGAGTACAGTAAGTGATGTGTAAGTACTATCCAGTCATTAGATCCTTCTAACGTATTTGTACAAGGAATATTTCAAAATCTATTACAAAACACACTACACAGTAAATTTTTTTTTTTCAGGGATATTCTTGCGCGAGTTATAAGTCTGGCTGCCCCACTTGTTTCTGTTTTACTTAGAGTATGAGTATTTATGACTCGTACGGTCGCTTTAGTAAGATTTTGCCCCATTTGTTTAACAACTTCTGCTCGCTTGAATCTAAGTTGAAATTTTAATGGTAACTCTACACTGTGTTAAATAATGTTCCAGTGAGGGGGATTAAGGCCATCATCGCCGCATAATTAATCAGAATATACGCTAATCCCACTTATGTTACAACAAAGTTATAACATAAGATGTTGGATGAAAATGTGTTGATCCAAAACATTTTCACTTTAACGATAACACACCGGATCTCTCCAGTGTTCACCTTAGCCTGCAACCAAAACTGACATTTATACAAACCCAAAGCCATCAACCTTAGCACCTAAATACGCAAGACAAAATTATATCTATAAAATGTCAAAGTAGAGAAATAATGTAAACAACATTTCCAGGCGGTCATAATCTAATCTAAAAATTTGCAAGAAAAATTAAAATGCTCAGCAAGAATAAAGCTAATCCTTAACAGCGAACTCATCGATCAATATAAAGCATCCACCATGATCAAAATTAAATGTTTCTTGGGATCAATTTCTGAAATCTAATACTGTACTCGAGTAATACTGTCAATATTTTAATATAGCAGGTAGGTTAACTTGAAATAATTACGGAATAATTAAATACATGTCGTAGAACTGCTGTAGGTCTAGGGTACATAATTATGATGATAAAACCCCAACACTTTGGGACAATATGTACATTTAAATACTTTAGGTGCACACTAGCGCCCTCTTCAGTTGAGTGCAATAGGCAATATGACTCAAGTTCAACACACACAAGATACACGAGCCAAACAGTTCTTAATTGGAACTCTTTCCCTGGTCCCGTTCGCGACGGCCAATCACGAACATTAAGCAATTCGATTTTACTAATGAAACATTTCATCTAGACTTTTATATAAAAAAAAATGCTACAAAGAACAGCAACGAGATTCTTATTTCAATTATATTCTCCTGAAGTAGTATGACCAGGTTGCTTCAGTCATATTTCTTCCATTCGCTAGACTATTAAATTCACGTTGATGAGATTTACACTCCCAACCACAATTATTTACAATTTTATGTAAACACTATATAGCTAAGATTTCATCACCGAGATGAAACTAGTCTCACCAAGCCACATTTAAAAACACTGCAACACAAATGTTAATTTCAGTACTTAATATGAATTGCAGCCACATTCTGCATAAAGTTAAGTAAATGATCACAACAAAGGCAATCATAAAAGTTTCTATGTAATGCACACAAATAATTCTCACATACCTGCACTATAGCTGGAGAGGCACTTAATCCAAGGTCTAAGAGCACCATTATTATAAATCACTAACCGCTATCATAAAAAAAATTGTGTACAACAAAAATAAGGCGAATATGGAAGCGTGGAGGTGGTGGAGAAGAGTGAGAGCGGTGGTGCTGGTGACACCTCGGCTCACTCTTACAGACTGAGCCATCTAGGCTCTCTCACCCTCGCCATCACCACACACCCACCACCAGCCCTCCCCCACACCCATCCTCTCTACCACCTTCCTCTTCACCACAGCTGCGACCCAACACCTTTGCCAAGCTTTCTTTAGACCTTGCGTCAGTGATGGCAGATATCACTCTTCATGTAATTTCTGGAGCGTGTTGAAGGTCTATTATATGGTAATTATAATGTTATTTATAATCTTACTTTAAGTATATGCTCGTGTAACTACTTTTACGCGGTTAAAAAAGTCACAATTTTATCAAATTATCAAGAAAAATACTAATTTGCAAATGATCTCGCTGAAAAATCAAAACAGTTGAATATACATTTTTTGTTATATATATTTTCAAGGGAAGACGTGATAAGCAAGGGAGGTGCTGCTCCCGTGCGGCCGCTGACATTACTAACGTTGGCCGGCCGCTGCATCCACCACCACCACCTCTTAGAGATTTATTTCCTATTTATCTTAAGTTTAAAAATAATTTTTTAGACAATTCATTGAAGTTTGTGTTGCAACCGTTCATAATTAGTTCAATTAATTTCCTTACACCCCATATCTATCCCGAGTGAGCGCGGAATAAAGGTTTGAGCCACAAAGCCTTGTATGTATGTACTTTTACCTGAATAAACTTTGCTTTATTTATTATTATAAAGTGAGTTCAGAAACTTGTTCAGTCAATCTCTTGTTTGTCCTGTTTTTTTACCTATTCTAGTTTCGAGATGTTGAAAGCCTTCCTTATCTTTTGATGAAGTATCACCTACACCACCATTGTTGTAAATTTAAAACATACAAGCCTGGCCTACGACCAGGCTCGACTGATAACTTGGTCCAACAGACTGTTGCTTGGAGTGGCTCGCAGGACCACATGTCCACTACAACCCGGCACTTCTTGCAGGAACGTGTCTAATGTTTTCTTTAAGTTCACCTTTGTTCCATCAATATTTCTTATGCTTGCTGAGAGGGTATTGAGCAACCGTGGACCTCTCAAGATCATAGTGTTCTCTAATTGTGATATACAGATTTATTCTGCATTTCCTACCAAATCTTTTGTTTCAGTATATTGTTATTTTACTGTGTAAATTTATGACCTGGCCTTCCAGCATTTTCTATGTATATATTATGTGATACCTCTTTCTCCTTTTTAGAGAGAGGGTTATTTCAAAATATCATACTTTGAGATCTTAAGAGACGATTCCAATAATTTAGATGCTTTACCTTGTTTATATGTGGTGTGTACGTTCTCAATATTTCCTCGTAGTGGGATCCCTGGATTTGACGGCTTTCATATATAATAAGCACTACAATTTTCCCCTGGCTGACGTTATATTTGTTTGGTTTTATTCACAAAGCGTAAGGTCGTCTTTTGTTATTTCAAAATACTTTACACGTTCTTCCACGAGTAGATCTGGATGTATAATTGTACCCTGCATTTCGTTTAAGTTCTTCATTATTACCATACCTATGTATTTGCCACTTATCACTGTTAAACATGTTATTTTCCTTTGCCCAATCGAATACTATTGATATAGGCTTGTAGTTATTCAGTGTGTAATACAGCAGTAATTTTCATGCCGATTTTTTATCGTCTGCACATTTATGATTTATTAATTACAAGTAGTGTTCCCGTAAATTTTGAATAAAGTTAATAGGGTAGCTATTTAATTTTATTACTGTATTTAACGTAACGTCTACGTAATCGGGTCGCAACCAAAGGTACTGGATTCAATTCCCGGGCACAACAGAGATGTTGATGCTTCTGTTCACCGAACAGTAAAAGGGTATCCGGGACGTGGATAACTGTTGTGGATTGCATCCTGAGAAAGGTCAGTAGTTATCCAAGGGGGACCTCGATAAACCTAAGTACCGGCTTCCTGTCCCTGACAACTAGAAATCATAAGCAAACAAGTCTTGCAAGCAATGCAAGTTGTGTGTGCACTTTCTACAACAAGCAAACTTGTAACACATGTACAGGATTTGGGTAATACATCCTGGAATAAAATATACATTATTACTCAACATTTCTGACTGGAAGAAGGGGACCCTTAGCCTCGAAGGAAACCACACAACGCATTAGAGGGAATGTTTAGGTCCCTTCCCATACAGTTTCTGTGCGCTTTTCTCCTACCACCCGCTTCCTTTTGATTTTTTTAACATTTGTAATTAAGTTTTTACTACATTTTTATCTTGTCCCACATTCAACGGCAATGACGCAAGGTATGTGAACAGTTTTGCTGACAAAGTTTACACTTGATCAGATCTGTTTCAGAAACTCCCAGCGGTATTTGTAACCTAGAATAAGCCCATCAGTGGTAATGTCTAGAAGTCTACTGACTTAATGGATGACCCATGTACGCTGTTCCTACGTAGTAATGTAATTGAATAGCTTGTAAATTTGTCTTAGGTCTATTTTCTGAGGGGTGGGGGTTGGGTTCTCGAAACATTAGTGGCCTTTTTGCTGTTAATAGGCAATCCAAGGTAATAATCAAATCCTCTAAGAGCATGTTTGACTATTTCATTTCCAGAGTGCAATCGGAGCTGAATATGGATGGGATCCACAGGACACAGACTCC